TGTGAAGCGCGCCGGGCTGTCCTACGCGCGTAAGACAGCCCGATGCACGCTTATTCGCGGATTTTTGTTAATTAAAATCTCGGTAACTATTGCAAATCTAGCAAAATGGTATAGGACTTTTCACCTCAGTTTTATTCCTTCTACCTGTCTACGAGAGATGTTAAACCAATTCTGGGACACTGTATATATACATATATGCGTGTGTGTGTATTATATATAGATATAGAATATTACATATAATATATATTATATTTTCTTTTTTATTCTTTTCCCTGTCACGTGACTTTGGTCACGTGTTGTTTTTCCACTTCTCTCTCTCACTATTTTTTGAGTTTGCTTTTCATGCGTTATTTCTGACATTTCTCATATGTGTATTATATATGGTTTATAAGACGTATATACTATCTGTCATCGCGGTGACAGGTTGTGTTCACTGACAACACGTTAAATAAAAATAACAATAGCGTGCGCGTAGCGCGCGCCTGTGTTGTGCTAGTAAGGCATAAAAAAGAAAAAAATTAAATACAAAAACTTGAAGCGAATTACTGAGTCGCTGCTACAGCCATCTATTTGCGACTTAACGAACTTTTGCGAGCGCGCCTAATAAGAATCATAAAAAATGAAGTTTAACTCTGGAAACTTGTAAACATAAATTTGGAAAGTTTGTTTACAAAACAAACATGATACGCATACATATAATAATTATAGACTTGTGTAATTGTTCTTTTTCTCATACAATAATTAACAAAATACAAATGTCCGATAAAACGAAATATATAGTTTTTTGTTTTTTTTCGGTGACATAAAGTTCTTTTTTATATTTAGTAGAAAAAAAGCGTGTTACATGTCCGACGTTATCAACGGTGACATCTAATTGGGCAATCCACGTCGTTTGCTTACAATGCTCTTCTCATCGGCAACAAATACGTGCCCGCATCATTCGCGATACTTCACGACAGGTGTTAACAGGTGCGTTACTCGGTGCGCAAAAATGCAAAGTCATACGGACTCGATTCGCATTGCAAATAAGACAGAATTAACAAACACGTAAAAAAGAAATACGGCGGAAAGTAGGAGAGAGGTGGAATGATCGGGGAAAAACGCGACACCGCATCCCGAAGGAAACAAACAATCGTGAGGAACGCGGAAAGAGAAGATGAGGAACGAGATGAATGTTCGGTCGCTGCTGCGAGTATAAATAAAGTAAGCATCATCAAGTCGACGTCAAATTTGCCATGTCAGATAACCGCAGTGCGGTGGACCGTAACCTCAAAGCAGATCTAATCTAACCTGACCTAACTTAACCCTAACCTAACTAAACGCGCGAAAACTCGCCTTGAGGAAATAAAAAGTTTCCGCGATAGCGGAACGACGTAAAAATGTGATTTCTCGCTCGGCTCGGTGTGTCGACCAAAAAAAAAAACCGTATGCCTCGCGTAATCACGAGGAACGGTGAAGATAAGAGAAACGCGCGATGGACAACTACTCCGTGCGTATCAATTATCCGCAGACCGGTCGTGGAGACTCCGACGAATCGTCCGTACCGCATGACAGCCAGCAGCACACGGATCATCCTTCAAGGAAGCGTGAGGAAGTGATCGTTCTGACAAGCGACACGAAGGGCGGTCTGTTTAATCCAAGAGCTTTGTTGTTTCTCACTCTGTGGTACGTCTTCAGCGGATGTACACTGTTTCTGAACAAATACATACTGTCTTACATGGAAGGTGATCCGACTATTTTGGGTAAGCAGTTGTGATCTCATCTGTTCAAGAATTTTTTTTACAATTATTATAATGACGATCGTGTTGAGTATATGTTTACGCTAAGTTATGTGTTATATTCTTTGTTTGCTGCTTTGTTTACAAATGCAGGTGCTTGCCAGATGTTGATGACAGCAATTTGTGGATTGATACAGATGTACTTTCCGTGCGGCATGTACAAAGCCAGTACGAGGTTGATGAGGCCGCCAGGATTTTACAAACACATGACACTAGTTGGATGCACAAGGTTTGCCACCGTAGTCCTAGGTTTAGTGTCATTAAATTATGTAGCCGTAAGTTTCACAGAAACTATAAAGAGTAGCGCACCACTTTTCACCGTCCTCATCAGCAGGTATTTGTTAGGTAAGAATAATAATTGCGTATTTTTTATATGTGAAAAGCACTTAAGCGAGTTTTTTTTTTTTTTTTTTTGGACACTTAACAGTACACGATTGAGACTAATTCTCAGTCAAATTTCACAATTACGCAGGGGAACATACGGGATTATATGTGAATCTGTCTTTGATACCTGTAATGGGCGGACTGGCACTGTGTTCCGTCAACGAGATCAGTTTTGATCTTCGTGGATTCATCGCGGCTATGGCCACGAATCTAACCGAATGTCTGCAGAACGTTTACTCCAAAATGTTGATCAGTGGTGATAACTTCAAGTACACGTAAGTGACATCGAACTCTCTGTGCACATAGCGCACGAGATTGTTTATAAGAACGAACAATTTATTTGTGTAAATTTGTTTTTTTTTTTTTTTTTCATTATAGACCGGCGGAATTACAATTTTATACTAGTTTAGCGTCAATTGTGGTACAAATTCCAGTATCGATATTACTTGTCGATTTTCCCACTTTGGAGCATTCCTTCAGCTTTAAATTATTCGCGGCATTCCTTCTCAACGGGGTGTTCTTTCACTTTCAAAGTATCACCGCTTACGTACTTATGGACTACATCAGTCCCGTGACACACAGGTGCGTAATTTTTCGTTCGTTGTTTTCCACGTTACTTTGTAAAAAACACGTTTCCGAAACTGATTTTAAAGAGTGCGCGCTAATAATATTGCAGCGTCGCCAATACCGCAAAAAGAGCTTTTTTGATATGGCTGTCTGTTCTGCTATTCAACAACCCGGTGACAGGATTATCGGCACTTGGTACTTCGTCAGTTATAATAGGAGTGTTGCTGTACAATCGGGCGCAAGAATATGACAGAATAAGTAAAGCAAAATTACGGTACTCGTCGAAGATCAATCTGCAATAGAAGAAGTTTTCCGAGACATAGATGTTTTTATATGTATCAGTGAAGACGCGCGTGTGAGTGTGAAAGAGTGTGTGTGTGTGTGTGTGTGTCATTTACACCTAAACGTATCGCGTATATTGCATTGGTAGTACAAATGACATCCAATTTTTACATAACAGTATTTTGTTCGTAGCAGAACGCAAAGTACTATTTATTTAGTAATTAGAAACATATTGAAACAAAGTGCAATCGCAATTATATATATAAATTATTATATTGATAATTAATTATGAAGTTTCCTATTCCAGAGGAGTAAAAAAATGTGATCCAGCATGTAGTGTTTTTCTCATATACAAACTGTACATATAAATAAATATTCACAGACACATGTGTATATATTGTCGCGTTATCGCCGCGACGTCTCGCGCGTCTCCGCGGAGTAATGACAACACAAAGAAGAACGTTAGACACACACTTTTATTCGTAAACCCCGAGTACGCGAAAAAAAATCCGGAGCCGCCGCACAAATCTTCCGAACGCGCTCCGATTCCCGTTTGAATCTGACGCTTGAACATCGGCGTCAACAATTCCGTTGCTATCCGATCTTCGCCCGAACAAATGCTCCTCCGTCGATCGATGGAACATCGAACTGCCTCTTCACATATACCGAGTGACGACACATCACTCTCGCAACACTGCTCCGTTTTTCTTCCAGATCGTCGTCCCGACGATCAAAAGGAGACTCCAGTCTTCTCGCTCTCTTCTAAGCTGCTGTTTAAGAATCTTGAGTCAACTGGACGAAGAAACTCTTCTCGAGGATCTACTCTCCTGAGCTTCTCTAGTCATATCTTCGGTATCTTCTTGGTTTCAGCCAATGGGAGGGGGGAGGGGAATTCACGTGGACTCACTGGGAAAACCACGCTCAAAAATCGTGAGCGATCTTCTTTAACAGAAACAAATCTAAGAAAATGACAGTTTCGAGACGATCCGGAGCAGCGACGACGTCCCGCGACGACAATGACGACTCGGGACAGAAACGGGATAGCAACGGGAATTGAAAGAAACTAACATGAGTATCTACAACTTAAACAACAAGACATGAAAATATTTAAACATTAACAGAACTTCCACGTGTGACTCGGTCTTTCATGAGAAACGAAAGAACGAAGCCCAATCTATCGGCACGAACATACTTGTTCCTATGTCTACTCGAGCGACGAATACACAGTAAATCACATTCATTCGATCACTTAAAAATTTCACACGGACGGAGAACCGCGGATTCCACCGATGTTTCCACTCGTCCCTTCTTCCTCACGACAGACGAATCGCTGTCTAATTCGGTTTCCATCTCTCGTGCTTTAGAAGCACAGAACGCGGCGCGCGTTTTCATCTCGGAATTTTTTTAAACGCTTTTCTCACCGACCGATCGCGAGCTCCCAAAATTGTCGCGTTACCGCGCTCCGCTCAAAGAAATGACAACACAGAGAAGAGAACGTTAGACACACACTTTATTCGTAAACAGAGTACAGAGAGGGCGAGAAAATCCGAATGCCGCCGCACGATTCTTCCGAACGCTTGAATCCGTTGTTTGAACAATCGGCGTCAACAATCCGTTGTTACCCGATCTTCACCTGAACAAATGCTCTTCCGTCGATTGATAAAACATCGAACTGTCTCTCTTCGTATACCGAGTGACGACACACATTGCATCTCGCAACAATATATACATATACATATACGATATAGAAATCAACTGAATATTAAATTTATTTAAAAGAAAAAAAAGACGAAGCAAGATCCGAGCATTTTAGTTTTCTCTGAGTGAAGGTGTTTTATTTTCTGCGGTCTATCGTGACACTAAATTGTAATTCGTATCAGCTACATATATGATGGATCTCATCGCTTTTACACATGCAACTAGATATTATTTTGAAAAAAACCTAAAAAAATTTATATTGGTCGTGAAAATTTGACTCATAAAAAATAATGTGTTTGCGTGGTCATCATATCTCTTCGGATGAAAAACAAAAATATTGAGAGACAAGTAATTTATATTATGTGGCAAAAAGTATCGTCTATTGCTGTATATCATACAGTGTTCCTAAACCTGAGAGAACTTCAGAGAACTATGGAATGTATATAAAACTGTTTTATATAAAAAATAAAAGTTCTTTACGTATACTTATTATGTATATATGATTATATATAATATTTAATACACAATATAGATATCAATATTATAATATTATATATACATATGATACCTATTAAATATATATAAATTTATAAGTATATAGAAATATTTAAACGTGTACTCTCCGTAACGTGAAAGTTTTTGATATAGTCGGATAACTGTTATATAAAATGAGTATATATATGTATATATATGTATTATATTATTCATACTATTATTGTTTCCCTAATTAAATTCGTTACATTATTGACAAGCAATCAGCGCTTGTCCAAGATCTGCTATAAGATCTTGTTCCGCTTCGAGGCCGACGGATAATCTGATTAGTTGATCGGTTATACCTAAGTCTGCCCGCATGGTCTCCGGCACAGACGCGTGCGTCATGACGCATCTACGTGAGAAAAATTCGTTAATTTGCGTTTGCGAATATATATACTCCACATCGATGATTCTGTCATTACACTTACGGTAATTCGGCCAACGATTCGTAACCACCCAGTGACTCAGCTAAAGTGAAGATTTTCAGTGCTTTCAGAAATTTGCTAGAGCAGCCTTTCAGATAAAAAGAGATCATTCCGCTGTGTCCCGTTGTTTGCTTCAACGCAAGTTCGTGCTGCGGATGCGACGGGAGATCTACAATACATATGTACGTGGTATTTTATTGTTTTTTTTTTTTTTTTTTTTAGATTTTAACGTTTTAAATTAAAAGTAATTTCGTAGCGACAAACGTACACGGGTGTATCACTCGCTCGACGTGAGGATGCGACTCGAGAAACTTCGCTACGGCCAGAGAGTTCTTCATGTGCCGCTGCATTCTGAGCTCGAGCGTCTTCAAGCTCCGATTGACCATAGCGCAGTCAAAAGGCGATGGAACGATGCCCATAGCTGAATTCGCAGAATGTTTTACACAACGAATTTTTATCGAATATTATATAAATTTGATAGCGCCAGCTTACCGTTCTGAAGGAATCGCAATCTTTCGCTGAGATCGTCTCGGCGCGTGATCACAGCACCCATGACCACGTCCGAATGGCCGTTTATATATTTCGTTATCGAATACAACACTAAATCAACTCCGAATTCGAGCGGTTTCTGTTTAAAAAAAATTATGATTGTAAGTAATAATGCAATAGAGTTGCATACAAATGTGCTACGTAATTTTTACTTTTACTGAAAAAAATTATTATAGTTACATATTTTTCTAAAACGCAACAAAAAGGAGATGCTGAAGAAGATGTCAAAACGCTTACTTGAAAGTAACAAGTCAAAAAAGTATTGTCGACGACTATTATAATATCCGGACGGCGAGATTTCAAGAGATGGACGACAGCCTTAATGTCCACAATTTTCAATAATGGATTTGTCGGAGTTTCCAGCCATACCATCTACAAGAATAGAAAATTATAATACATTTTTCTTAAGTAAAATACTGAAAAAATACTTCCAAAACAATTCTATTTACTTCTCAGTCGAAGAAATACCTTGGTATTTGATTGTAAAGCGTCTGCAACATTTTGCACATTGGTCATGTCCACGAAGGTGAATGTTATCCCTTGATTGATCAAACACTTTTGAAAATAACGATTGGTTCCGCCATAAAGATCATCACTCGCAATGAGATGATCACCGGTTTTTAATAAACTTGTGGTCGCAGTGGTTGCTCCCAAACCGGAAGAAAAGGTGAGCGCGTGTTTGCCCTCTTCTAGAGCTGCTAGGCATTGCTCCAACACGTTGCGTGTAGGATTGCCGCTTCTAGAATAGTCAAAGCCCTATACGAACAAAATGAAAAAAAAAAAAAAAAAAAAAGAAACAATTAAGATGAGAATATATATTTTTAACCACATCTCTCTTTCTCTCGGCTTCAACGAACAAAATTGCACGTACTCTGTGCTGTCCTGGACCGTCCTGTTGAAAAGTAGTAGACAATGTTATGGGCGGCACAACCGAACGGGAAGTCCATTGCTGCGGTTCTTGTCCTACGTGAATAGCTTTGGTGGAGAATCCTTGCGAAGTCATGGTTCACAGTAATGTTTGACACAAATTTCACGCTTTTTGCAATAAATAAGCTTTTCTCTTCACTAGCTACTTCCTCTACAGCGAAACTAGCAACATACAATAAAAATACAAATATTTTCACCTTTTATATAACAACAGAATTATATTGAATGATGCAATATAAAGCATGAAATAATATGATATCTGACAATTAAAGATAGACGTTTTTTAAAACATGCAAAAACTTATTTCAATTTAATAACTTTTTCATTGTATAAAAAGAGAAATTGTTAGTTTCTAAGAGAAAGTTATAGATTGTTCTGATAAAAACAATAACAATATCACGCTTTTCTTTTGAAAATATATTTCGCATTTATCTTCGATATTTTTTTAACTTGTCATAACTTTCTCCGAGAGAACTTTGATGTGGATTTAACTTACTCATGTGACATAAATAAGAATAAATTTACGCGTCTATATATATATATACATATGTGTATATGTGTGTGTGTGATACAATTTAATTTCTAATACTTCGACGTCGCGCGTGACGTTGCTATTTAAATTTAGTTATGGCAGAGCAGACACGTGGACTGTTCTATATGTGTATTGTTACGTTTGTTCTTTTATGTTGCAGTTTCTGCGATATAGAACAAATAAATAATTGAAAGAAGAGAGAAAGAGAATTGTGATCACGTCACAAAGAACTTGTCTTTCCCATGTCTTTCTCTTGCTTCGAAAAAGCGAAGCGTGCCCAGAAAAATACAGCTGGCAAGAACACGTGATATTCTCGTTTTGTAATTGCTCACTTACTATTTCGATGCGATTCAACGACCTTGCTGATTTAATCAAGAGAAATGTTCTTAGAAGAATTCTAGTGTCGTCAATAGAAACTCAATCTTTTTTAACGCAAATCTGTCGTCAACTGAAATTGTTTGTTAACGATGCCGGTATCTTATCACCTTGTTCGTCACTCCGCACACATTGGCACACATTAACATTAGTGTCGCGTGACCAATGAAAAATGACAAAAAATGATGAAGCCGCGCGCGACGAGCGGCTGCGCGAGAAAACCAATCAGAAACGAGAAATTCTCTTTGTCGAGTCGAGTCTCTCTAGGCCGCACTTGATACGCGATTTTTTCGCAAATTAATTGTGTGATTATCCGATTATCTGATACGAGTCACGAGCAAAAGAATTATTATCATTGATTAAATGATAAGCGTAAAAGAACTCGTCTCGTAAGAAGAATCAACTCTATTATATGTGAGATTAGATTCATATTTTAATTTGACGAAACGCAAATTTAATTCATTTATTCAATTGATTGCAAGTCGAACGGTCGCGATTGTTACAATTAGTTAGAAATCAAACCGCATCTTGAAATTCATTTATTGAAAGTTACACTGTAAATACATTACTATGTCTCTCGAGAGATTGGTGTTTCATCTGAGATCCTCAAACTGAAACACCGTTTAAATACATGCACTCTCAACAGAGAGGAATCAGCAATGACATTGAGCAAACGCTTATGTAACTACGATCTCGCTAATGTTATTTGTATATCGATATCGCGCTTTCAAATTGTTTATTGACAGTATTGGAACGCGCTTACTGTATATTCTCAATTCGTTCTTTATCTAAAAAAAAAAAAATAAAATTAAAATTTAAAAAACCGGAGCAAAAATTTATTCCACTGCTCGGCAAAGCCGAGCTGTAAGATAAGACTCGCAAGTTATCTTTTTATTAGTTTAAAAAATTAAATGTCAACTGACACAACACGGAAGTAAGAGTACGTAAATAAATTATATAAAGTTTGCTACACACATGCGCGAAAAGAGGAGCACGCGTTTTGCAACACTGCTACCAATCTAGAAGAAAGTTTCTGCAACGTTCGTTGCTACCATTATCAAATCGATAATCGCTCGAACACTCGTCCTCCGTTTGTCATCTTCGCCGAAACTTGATAATCGTCTGATGTGAGTAAATTCGCGAGAGTTTCGAGACAAAAATTTGACAAGAAACACTTTTGATGACGCGCGTAACAAACGGTGTATCGAGTATTGTTATAGAGCGGCTCGAGCGATCAGGACAAATGTGAACAACAGCGCGTAAAAATTTCTCCCGAAACGAGAACGTCGATATCACATGCACACACAAAAAACAAGAGGAGTATTAACAAGGAGATTTATCAGCGCGATTGTTTATTTTTGAGGGTGAACTCGTCGAAAGTTACGATCGCTCCGAAGATGAGACTCAATAAGGAAATTTATATTACGTCGCTCTTATCAATCGTTGGTGTGCTCCTGATCGTTGAGGTAACTCGCGGTGACACGCTTCACGGTATTGAAATGAACCGCGAGGATCCCTGCATCAGTTTGTGCGAGAAAACGTCCATTGATTTCTCAAATGTACGTATAGGAAAAAAAAAAAAAAAAAAACATTTGTATTTGCATCAGTCCGATATGTTTGTATGTTTACTTTTGTTGTAGAAAATTTACATGAAGTCTTGCTGCCAACGAGGATGCAGGTTCTTCAATCTGGTCGACCTGCGCCATGGATGGGAATCAGACGAGTTGAATGGCACCAGACAGGCTTGTGAGACCTGTACGTATATAAAACTCTCTTTTTTTTTTCTGAAACATAAATTGAACAATGCTGTTCAAACTTTGAGAATATCGTTAACAATATATAATCGTGATTGTGTAACAACACAGCGTGCACCGAGGCATACACAAATCTGGAAGATCGCTATACCTGTGGAATTGGTTGTGATTTTATGGCCAATCAACGAGTTTCGGATCTGCTGTCTCTTCTCTCGATTGCCATGCGTATGGAGAAAAACATTTATTACTCCAATGCTTTGGGTCTGATAGATATACCAGAAAACGATATATTAACTGATCCTGGATTGCGCAAGGAGCTGCTTCCTGGATGGTGGGATTCCGACGGCTTCAAATTGCCGCAAACGTATATTAAAACCGTACCAATGGATGTTGGAGTAAGCATCTCTTCTTACGTTTATACTAGATAAAATTTAATTTTCAGTGTTTTTTTTTTCATTGTATGAAACTAAGGTAATGATAAAATATTATGACATATGAGACGTACTAAACACTTGCAGACTGTGGATTATTCTCTATCTTCTGATTATTCCGGCGAGAGCGAGCAGACAGCATTTACACCTGTGATTGTATCTGGTCCGGATTGGTTTAAGTGCATATTCAAGCAGATACCACCCGAGCATCTGAGGCCTTTGTTCTTCCTTCTCATAGGAACCTTTGTAGTATTGTTCATAATATTATCACTTTGTCTAAGGTGGATCTACATATGCACGGAGGATGATTCGTTGTCCAAAGAGAAGCTGATCGACACATCTAATTCACTCAAAGTCACATTGTACCATACATACATACCAGACGAATCGCCTCTGTACAAGGAACCACCTCCCAAGTACGATCAGCTATTGGATCAACCTGAAACCTATTCGCCAGACGTCAAAGTTAATATCTAAATCAATGATGACTTAACAGAAAACGCGTGATCGTATCTTGTTTCGAAAGCTTTAGCATAACACACAATGCAGTGATATGTAGATATCAATGATTACCGTGATTTAAATTTGATAAAATCAAAAGTGCATTTTACAATAGAGCGACATAGAGATAATTCAACTATCTTTTTTTTTTTTTTTTGTTTCGATCTCTAATGTCTAAAGCAGTTGATGGATAATAACGTATTTAATGCAAGTTTATCGTGTTATACGTACATATATAACACGAAGTAATAAAGATAAGAGCAAAAGAAAACTACCCAAGCTTATTTGATAATAGACAAAAGACATCAAACTGAACTTTGAAAAATATATTGATATTTTTTTTTTTTCAAAAGCTGTGTTAGCGCGAAACTTCTATTACAGACTGATCCGTTGATTTTCGAAGTACATATATATCGGGAAAGATAATGAACTTTTGATAATAATTGCAAAACACCGCGTTTTTGTCTTTTCTATAAAGAACAAAATTGCATAATTTATATAAACACGTATACACATATTTAAAATCAATATAAATTACTGTACAACGAAAAACGAAAACACAAGTTCAAACTCGCAAAAAGACATAGACGTAATTGTTTTAGCGACAATATAAATGGCATAATCAAAATACTTGATCGAATTGCTCTTATTGTACCACAACAAACTATCATCATTGAAGGACTGAATTACAATGACGGTATAGAACAACAAGGTCATAGGCAAAGTAGCTAAAAGGGTTTATATATACGTCGAAGTGATATGATTAGTCAAATTTTAAATCTGTAGAAAAATTTTGTAAAGTATATATAAATATTTTTTCACATATAAAATCACGCATTTTCATCTTGGATTTTGAAAACTGAAATATGTGACGATTTTTTGTTTTTCGAGTTTGTTTTTGATCATGTTGGATATAGAATTGCTTTAATATTTCTTCGACGTTTGTCGCTTTGGACGTTTATCATATAGCGTTAGCGATTGTTGTGTCGCGTACTAAGAAAAAAAGGATACACACGCAAATCATGGTATATATATAATTATCCTTCTCTTCGTGAATTATAATATATATATATATATACATATTATACAAATTATACACACAATATATACATATATTTTATATATACACGCGCAAAAAATTTTTTCAGAATTTTTCTAAAACATCATATCTCACATATATGTACATATGTTAGAACTTGGTTCGATCACGCACAGGTATTCATATTGTCGGAAACAAAACCGTGTAAAATCACAATTTTTTCCGCAATTTCAATACCGAGTGACACAACATGCGCGATTGAAATCTCATTAAAGTTTTTATCAAAAAAAAAAAAAAAAAAAAAAAAAGAACAAAAAACAAACAAAAACAAACTATTATATTACTATATTATAGTTATATTATTAATGCGTAGTGTTTTGTTATAACATTGTTATTTTACACAATTTAGACTGTTTAGCGAGTAGAAATTGCGCCATTTATGATCTCACACACAGTGAACGGTAGCAATATATAAATAAAAGTTTTACTATCTTTGAGAAGAGAGCATCACCGTGTGATATAATCTTCTGTAAGTGTATGTACCACGTTAAACAACATATACATATATGAAATTTCTTGATGCAATAATTTAGAATTTTTTCGTAAAAATTTATATTGCGTTGCGCAAACAAAATCTTGAATGTCAAAATTGAATTTTGAATTACATTTTGTGATATTGTACGTGCAATCTAGAGATAATTGTATATGTATATCGTACAAAAAGTAAATGTTCAAGAGTTCCTGTTCGCAAGACTTATATAATTCTTAAATTAAAATCTCTTGTTGTTAAAAAAACCGGTGTGTATTAGTGTGTATCTTCCAATTGTACATTAGGTAAAAATTTTACGTGTCGTCTTCATCTCTTTCTCCGCGATGACAAATTTGTTGAGAGAGAGTGTGTGACACAACATTCCTCACATATGTCTGTCCGTATTTCCAAAAGTTTAGATGTTAGGTTTTTCCTCGCGAAGACGTTACGTATTTTATTATTTTATATTACAATATATTTATAAAAATCAAAATCTTTATTGCATAATAGAAAAGTACATGTAAACCAAAGTATCATGTTCCTTAAAGTAGAGTATGTCGGAGCTACAAGTAAATGTGTATTTATTCCTGTCTGTAAAATCTGCAAATAAAACATGAATTTTTGTCCAACACACAAAAGTTGCGTAAACATAATCAGTCGAATTTCTCTTCCTTGTTTCCTATATGCAATTGTTACTTTTTTCTTTTTCTCTCTTTTTTTTTTGTATATATTCGAACAGTGTCTATAATTTTAGAGGTATAGACCTAAGCCTTTATGTTTTATGTAACATTAACAAGTAACAGTTCGAATAGAAAATATGTTTCTTCTTACAAAACACCGCGCGTGAAAAGGGCGGAATGTGTATGTACATTATTAAGTATACAATCGTGCACATACGTCTGTAAAGATCGATATTACATCTACGAAGAATAGACGCGATTTACGACAGATCGTTTGCAAGAGATCTTTTTTCCAACCATCACACACGTCTTCCATATAGCACAATGTACCATGTACAGAAATAAAATTGTACGTTGCGATCTTCTCCACAAAAAGGCTTAATTTGTACGATATTATATAAATCACGCACACGCACACGCACACGCACACCGTCAAAGATCAATTTTGTACAAAATACGTCCTACAATCAGCTTTGCCACTATATAAGTGTTTTTTCAAAAACATCACGATTCATAGAATATATTTTGATACATCGCGAGATTCGATAGTACGAACTAAAAAAAAAAAAAAAGAAAAAAAAAATATAATGTACACCGTTTGATATACAAGATATCTAAAAAAATTTTGACCAAGCCAAAGTGTAAAGCATTGGATCAGTTTGAAGTCAAAAAGTCATTTGCTATTTTGTGTAGTTCGCAATAGTTGTTGAATTATTAATTAATACATGCGACCGAATGAGCACATACTCACTGCGTCACGTCTATTAATTAATTGCTCAATAAATATTGCAAAGTTTGCAAAATTGCAGATGACTTTTCTGTGTTCAGATTAACTCGATGTATATGTATACTCACATTTTGGTCAAAATTTCTCTGACACCCCGTATATTTACACAATAGCTTCCTTGACCTTATTGTTGAAGTCTGCTCTGAATGCAAGATGAAATTAAAAATCATTAGTGTATAATTTTCTTTCCTTCTCTCTCTCTCTCTCTCTTGTTGACACAAATCATTTTAGAACACTATCTTCAACAAATGACTTTCACACTTCAATTCTTTAACCAAATACATTAGTACACAGTAAGTCTGCGGTGCTTGATTTATAATTAAACTTTCTTATAGATCCAATCGCGTACAATATCGCAAAGACAGATTTCATGCGAGAATGTCTATATTATTGCCAATAAAGTTCGGGATCGTCCCTACGAAATTGCAGTTTCAAAACATGTCGGTATATCTTTAAAGCAGGACCTAGTAGTAAACCGAGTCCGCACAGCACGTCCTTTCGGGTCATCATCAGAAGAGCGTGACCGTCTATTTCCTGAAACATAAAATGCGCGAACGGTTTTGATAAAATAAGACGGAATAAACACGTTCAAGCGCAACGTGTAATTATGCGAAAAAAAACATTGATCTAGCAGATTGAATAAGCGCTTACATGTTGTCGGAAAACTTCAGCTTCCTTTGGAAATAATCTGGCAAAATATTGATACACTTGCTCGATCGTCCAATGTCGCGCATCAGGAATATTTGGATCGATAGGACCTTTTGGACCATCCTCTTCTATTTGATCAGTGGAACCTCTAGTGGGAGAGACTTGAGGACTCAGCACTGGCGGTAAGTTGGGAGCATTGGATGGACTCTCTGGCCTGCTCGTCCCGTTAACTGAACTAACTACTATTTGAGAATCATTCGCTTTACATTGCTGCTGCTTTTGCGTGCACTCGCTGCAATACCACTTTGAGTTTGATTTCGATATTCCGACACGCGACGTGAGACAGTGGTAATGATAAGCATCGTCACATCCAAAACAAGTCACCAAAGAACCCTGATCGTAATAAAACAAAAAAAAAAGAAAGAATTAAAGTTTGATTAAACACTACTTAAAGCTTGTACACAAAACAATATATCACACATGTGTGGAAACTTACAGCTTCAGATGTCTCACAACATATTGTACAAGTTTTACAACGTTCGCATTGCCAACTGCTATTGGATTTCTGAAGTATCTCCTCCGGACTATAAATGCAACTTGGATGTGCTGCACACACAAGCAAACATGTAATATAAACATAAGTATCTTACGCGTATGAATAAAAACGAACTTAATAAAAGATAAACTAATGATATATATTTAAGAGAATTACCTCGCACTGTACAATCTCTACAAGCTACCAAAGGTTCTTGTTTTTCTTTAGCACAGAGACTACATTGTCTATACGGTCCTTCCTTTACAGCTGGTTTGCCAGAATCCTGCGAGTCTTGCATCAGCGAGTTTTTATGACTACCCGGCTGTCTGCCACGTTTACGTTTCACTAAATTGTTGTCTGAAGGGTCAAATACCTTTCTAGCTCTCTAAAAAAAAAATAAAAAAATAAAAGTAAAAAAATCTTACGTTTTAAGAAAAAGTAAATTATGCAAATTATATAATACACGTCAAAATGTTGGCTTCTAAAAAAGAACTGATCTATAGAAAATGCACTTTTAAAATATATATTAACAAATTTTGCGAAATTTGTTTTGCACGCAAATATTACATAAGCGTAAAAGATAAAATTTGAATGTTTGACTGACCTTTCTTCTAGCGCTGCGAAATCCAGCGTTATTCGTATTGGACGGAGTAGGTGATGTGTTCGTTGAGGAGCTCCTGCCGGCGTCCTCATCCTCGTGATCCTCGCTTGAGCGTCGCCTAGATTCCTCGCGTTTCTCCGGTTCTTCTTTGATGCTCCTCTGATAATCCTCATATCTTATCTCAATGTCCATTCGATCATCCGTTCTTACAAGCAGACGCTGTTTGCGCTCAGCCTTGGGCTTTTTGAGGTTAGACGTCGTCTTCTGGACATCGTTATTGTTATTGTTGTTCTTAGATTCCTCTTTGACGGTGGCAGGTTCGTCTTTAATCGGTTCTTGCTTGATTTTGACAGATTCCACGATTGTCGTTGACAGTGCTGCTTCCGAAGAAGCTTTACGTTTCTGACTGTAGCCGTTGCAATTGTCGGTATCGTCGACGCCGTTGTATGCCACCTCGACAGACGACGGCGACGCGCTGGCGCCACGCTCGGTAGCGTCGTTCTTCTCGACCTTGATGACGACTTTGTTGATCTTGTGACATTCTCCTTTTGATTGATCCTCCTTAACGGAATTCTGCTGCAATTGCTGATCCAGTTTTGGGCTGTTGCTGGCCTGTCGCGACGACGATCGCGATGTATTCGAGCCGGATGTAGTGGTAGTTGTGGTGGTGGTGGTGGTATCGGTGAGGTTATCCGTCTCGTTGAAATCGTAAAGTTGTTCCGCGGACGCAGTTGTTAAGCGATTGGCGGCGGTACCGTTGCTAGTAGCGGTGGTGGTGCCATTGCCGACGGTGCCGTTCGATGTCTGTTTGGCAGAGCGTCGCTGCGCCGTCCCGTTGCCGTTCTCCAGGGTGCGGGCGACGGTTGCGGAGGACGACGGCTGCGTGTTGCCGCCGCATCGCTGCGGTGTCGCGTCCGTCGTCGCCACCGAGTCTACCAGCGAGTAATTGCCGTTGGACAGGCGCGCGAGATTGCCGCTCGCCACCTCCCGGCCGAGAAACTCCTCGACTACGCGGCGCGAGGTCGGACTTGACACGCCGTTGAGCAGTTGCTCGATCAAACGGCTCGCGGGTACGCCCTGATCGAGATAATCGGGATTTTCCTCGACCAAAAGCTCGGCTATCGCGCTCGAAACCATGCTCGTGTTCAATTTCTCTTTGAGAAAGCCCTCCGGACGATTTTTGAACAACTGTAAACGCGACCACTTCTTCGCGTTGCGATAGCTTGTGTTGCCCTTGTAATCGACCTGAATCACCTTCTCGACCTCGATCAGCCGGTGTAAATCGGCAATGGTGTCGCGCGCATCAACCGAGAAGTTACGCAGCAAATAATTGCAGATCCGATCAGCGTCGGGGCGCGCTTTACGTCGACGCAGCTGATCGATCGCCTCCAGTATTCGTTCCTCGTGCGTTATCCGCGCCGCTGCCTGCACCGAGTGCTGCTGCATCTTCGTCATTTCTATTAGCACGCGGGGCGCGACTGTCCCTCCTCCTTTCTCCCTCGGCTGTTGTGGCGGCCGCAACTCTCTCCGCGTTAACTGCTTTTGCCCGACACACGTCTTCGCTCCGCTCTCTCTCTTTCTCTTGCTCTTTCTCTCTCTCTCTCTCTCCGTCTGTCTAGGGATGACAATGCTGAAGATGATGACGCAATGATAACAAAATCACTACGACTTATTGTAAATCCTTACGAAAATATACAAAGCGCGAGAATGACAATTGTCCGAGCGACGCACGATTTGTTCCGACGCACGATCCCGATGCGCGAGCAGCGGGTCCGCACACGATCCTTCTCTGGGTTTTTTCGGCGAGAACGCGCGCGCTCGTTTCGACGTGTGCTTCCTCGTGTGTATGCGCGCCGGCCCGCCGCGCGCCGAGAGAGAGCCGTGTTGTGTCCGCGGTGGTCTTGTGCCGCACAAAAAAAAAAAAAAGTCGGGCAGAGAGAAAGATCCGGCGATGTCCAAATTTAAAAATTTTCCACCGTCGCACCGTACGCACCTCGCGGATGTCGCGGACACGTTGTCTCGCGATTATTTCCTACTTACGTACGTGTTACACGCTTAACCGGTCCCTCGTCCGTCTCACGCCGATCTGCGTGTGCCGCCTTCGTCTGCTCTCGCGTCGGCCCCCGAAGAATCGCGCGAATCCTCCGCTTCTCTCTTTCCGTCACTCCGACGGATGTGCGCGCTCTATCGAGCTCGCTTCTCTGACGCGCGCGCTATCGCGTCGCATGCTGGCGCGCACGTACACACACCCCAAGTATACACACATAAACACACACACACACACATACGGCACACGCTGCTGCGAACGCGCGCGATAAATCCCCCGATCCTCGTGCCGAGAGTTGCGTCGCGTCGAGCGACGCGTTTAACGCGACGCGACACGCGTCCGTCTGTCGGCGATTGAACGACTTGAAGAGAAACCGATCGAAACGGAAGGTGTATATATTTACGAATGATCGAGAGGAGCGTCAGTCGATCGCGTACGGATTATGGCGTCGCCGTCGAAACGCGCCAAATATCTCACCGAAGCGACCCCTTTAATTAAGAGACGCGCGCTCCTCGGCCAGCGATCGCTACCACCGCGCGACAAACGACGACGACGACGACGACGACGACGACACGTCGCGTTGCGGTCGATCGCGTTGATGCCGATCGCATTCCCGTCGCTATCGCGCACGCTCTCCTGCCTATCGGGAGCGCAACCGACAATTTCCGAGAATTTTCGAATACGCGCGCCTCTTATCGCACCACCACCGGAGACGAACGGGAGAGAGAGCGAGAAAAACAGAAAAAAAAAGAGAAAAAAAAAAAGAGAGCGAGAAGGACACGCGCGCGCGTTGATAATCTCTCTCGCCGACACGTCGCGGATCGAACATCGAACTGCAGAGCGCACGACGCGCGCTTCACACCCTCCGTCGTGTTCGCCACTCTCGCACGTCGTCGTCGTCGTCGTCGTCGCCGCCGCGATGTCTCAGAAAACCTCAAACCCGCAAGCTCAAACTTGCACGAAATTCCCGGCGCGCCCGACGCCGCGCCTAGACCAGCCAATCGCGCGCGTCCGAGGTTCGGACGTCCGTTCTGTGACGGTCGTCCGATCGTCCAATTCTCTCGCGATCGTAAACAATGGCCACGGACCCGCCGGCTGTATATATATATATATATATGTCTGTATATGTGTGTGTATATATATATAAAACTACACACAATCGCTGTCTCGCGCCGAGGACAAGCTCTGGGACAAGCCGCGTGACGATCGAGGACAATATCGGTGCGGTTTTTCCGCATTGACAAACGTAAACGCCGGGAGCAAAAGAGATACGCGTTTCGCACGCGCGCCTAAGGGGAAGTACGCGCCTACTTACCTTACGTTGCCGAATGAGCGCGTAATAAGTGCGCACCACCTTTTCCTCTCGCTTCACGCTCGCAACGAGCGAAACCGATGTGATCGACGGGCGGCGAATCGCGGTCGCATGACTCGACCAAGGAAATTTTGCACTTGTTTCGCGCGATTAACAAAGAGCGCACGGGGGAGGGTAAAGAGCGTCGCGCGTGGAGAGAAGTTGCACACGGGTGAAAACTGTCCGGGAAACGCGCGCGCGCGCGCACGCGATAGAGCGAGAGAGACGAAAACACGGTCGGCCCCAACCTCGAATTCAACCTCGCACGTCCGCGGCGACTGTGCGAATACCACCGAGATTCAGCGTGAGTCGTTCACGGAGCCAGGCGAAACGCGTTTCCGACCGGCGTCGCTGCGCGTGTGTCCACGCGTCTCCGACGGCCGTGCGGCCATGCGCGCGTCTCATGAACAAGCGTATCGGTGCAATTCGGTTTCTTGGTGTGTGCGTAAGCGAACACCGGCGCGGATGTGTCCGCCGCTGCTTTCGGCGCGGCTCCGCTCTTTTTTCGCTTCGCGCACGGCACAGCGCTCGCGATTTTATTTGTCACACATCGGGATCAAACATTGTCGATATCGATGGCACAAATTCTCGAGTTGAGTTTTGCGCCCGGTTACGGAGCGCGAACGGAGCGCGCGGAGCGAGAAAAGAATTACAACCAGCAGATCGGAAACACGGAGAAACGCGTGTGTGTCGCCAAGAGAGACGCGCGCGTGACGTCTTTAGTTAATGCCGTGTTTTCCCGCACGTGTGCGTCCCCGCGCGATGCTTTCCACATCGCCGCCCACCTCGGTGGTACGTGGAAAAAAAAAAAAAAAAAAACAACTACGCGGAAGCGGACGGGAATTGGGAAAATTGTCGAGAGGAAAATTCAACGAGAGAGAGAGAGAGATAGATAGAGCTCGTGTCGGAACTCCATCCTATTCCGTCTTCAATAATTCACACGTTGTCGGATTTTGTACACGCGTGTAACGGTCGTTCTCTCTCGTTGTTCAACGCGCAACACGTGCGAAAGAACGGGAACCTCGAGCGGATTTTATTTTATTTATTTTTTTTTTTTTTTTTTTTAATCGGAAAACAACATCGCGATGTTGTCTCCGGGCCGGGAATGGCTTCTGGCGCGCCAACTCGACGCTTTGCCAAGCCGCGCGACGAACGACGCAACATGATAGAGAGAGAAACGACTTTGTGTACTTACCTGTGTGCGAGGAATGAAATGTTGCGTTTGAAATACTTTGTCGATCTTGTTGTTGTCAATTGCCGCGAACCTTGTTTACGTGCGCGTCAGTTTCGTTGGCGCGCGCGTTGCCGTGTCCCATGAAGGTCGTTAAAAACAAACCGGAGCCGAGCAACGGGTGCGACCGACTGGGTTGTATATGGACGAGGACCGCCAAGGCGCCAAGATGACTTTTTGTACCGGCGGCATGCGCAGGGATGGCCGCGTTGCATGCCCCACTTTCGGCCCGCTTATTTAGTTCGCTCGCACGCCATGTGCAATATCGCGTGTTATTTGAGAGAAACCAATAAAATTATTAAATTTTTTAATCGTAAAATTAATCGTTGTTTTGTTTCACATTAATTTCATTCTCGTCAAAATTTTTGTTTTAACGAATATAATAAAACAAACCACGAGAAACCACGCGGGCACGATGGCCTCACGATACAACGCTTATATATCCATCCAGAAACGAAACCGTGGCGCTGACATATCATCTCCTTCGCCCAGGAATTTTTTCATTTGACGCAAAACTGAATTGTTATTGGCAAACTAGAATGATAAAATGCATACGTTTAGATATGCGACGACAAAATAAAAAGGAAACAAAACGCGAAGGACACGGTAATATCACAAGTACACACACGCATGAAACTAGGTGTTCCCAAGAGAATTGCAATTTTCCACGCATGCGCAAGTGATGTAACTTTCCGATTCGATTTTGACTGGAAATTCGATCAATTTCTCGCGTGTGCACACACACACGCACACACGCACACGAATGAGGATCTTCAGAAATGTTTCATACGGTGCGCAATGAATTTATGGTATTTGTTTTTTACCGTGTGTGTTAATTCACCACGTTGGTAAATTATTAAAACAAAATAAATTGCAAAATTTACTTACCGCATCATACGGGTGGAGAAGAGAGTGACAACGTGTTATGCATGCGACACAGCATACACACACATTATATATATATATATATATATATGTAGCACTCAATTTTATTTAAAAAAAACAACATATCATAGATTAAAAAAAAAAGAGGAAATCGTATTCCTGATGACGATTTTTTTTTTTTTTTTGTACAAATTAATTTCGATTAAATTCTCACAATGTATATAAATAATATCACGGCGACGCGCATTCACATCCGTTTTTAATTTTTCGATTTGCCTCGCTTCACAAGTAATCGTTTTCCTTCTCGTTGTGCCTCTTGAGTTTGGAGATCTACGCGTAAAATAAATGCGAAGCAATTAAATTGATTGGCAACAGTTTGAGAATGCTTGTGAAAAAAAAATTTCAAACTACTACCGCAAATATAAATTTTCTATGGCAGGTTTGCACGTACATTCAACGTACAGAGGCTCTCGTATATATATATAGACCTTAATGCTTAATTTAAATTATTGTCAATTTAGCGCGTTCGAAATTGTCGCTCATGTACATACCAATTTATACGGCTTTACTTTCACACCGTTGTTCTCCTTAAGCGGACTACGCTTCTCAACGCACTTTTTCTGCGAGACAGGAGAATATCGCTGACAATCCGGTAAACTTCTGTTCAACCGCGGAGAATACTGATACTTCGCACTACTACCGTAAATTGATTTTGATGGCGTATAATGTCTCGGAATAATGTTTGTTTCCTGTTGACGTTTAGGTGTTGTACACTTCTTCGGAGTCGGTAGCTTGGATAATCTGAAACAGAGATGTGTTGTGCAATAATTTTTTTTATCCTTTCAATTTTTTTGTAATTCATTGAATGCGTTTGATTGCGCTTTGCGGCGCGCGCTCACCTTTTAGGACTCACTTTTCCTCGTTCATCGTTGACATTACTTGTGTTCTCGTACATGGTCACAGGCGAAATGTCACATGAAAAGTTACGCTTTTTGTCAGAAGACGTCGACTGAACCGACGTTGACGCCTTACTGATTTCTCTATCTGGCGTTGATGAAGCTACTGGTTTGGATTTCATCGCTTTTTTCGACATATAACTGTCCATCGAATTGGGAGTACTGCTGATTATCTTAACGCCAGAAATGGTTTTGCAGGATTCCGGCGGCGTTATTTGAGAGGACGGTGCCGCTTGTTTTCCAAGTGACGCTACGTTGTACATACAGAGTAATTAGAAGCTGTTATTTCTAGTCTAGCTATAGGCTAGACCAGAACTTTGTAAATCTATGTTTAGCAAATCAAGCATACTTAGTTTCTTTTGCATAGAGTCTACGGGATGCACTGCCTTCATGGGACCTCTTTTATTAATTACATCCGACTTTTTTTTGAGTTTATTTTTAACATCACTTATAGCAACCGGTTTAACCTTTTTAATATTAGATTCTTCCTCTGCAACATTTATGTAATCAATTCAAGTGAGTGCAATTCAATGTAAAACGATCAACAGTCGATTAATAAAATATTGTAAATGTACCTTTTTTCGCGTTACGTGCTACTTCGGGAATCGCGATTTTCCTATTCGCTAACTTGTCAATAAATCCCGGATTGCTGGAAAATCGCTTCTTTGAGTTCAATGTTACGGACGTTTCTTTGAGCTTGCGTAATTGTGTTTTTGACGGAGTGTTGGTCGGCGAATCAATTGCTGATAAACTTCTTCTTTTCCTTTCAACTGGCTACATAAAATAATATAAAAATAAACCATGATAAATAAATCTAATATGTTACACTCATAAAAATACGTTACATATATACAAGAACAGATTTTTTTAAAATTTAATTTAATCTCGCACATACTTTAGACTTTGGTTCAAAGCTTCGCCGATGTGCCGATTTTGTCGATGATGTAACCGATGATGGTGTACGATTGAGTTCGGAATGTTTTACAGGTGCAGTTCGTCGAATATTTTGAATTTCATTACATTTTGTCACATTTTCAATTTTATTATTATTATTCGAAGCAACATCTAAAACTTTTCCTATATTTTTAAGTAACTCAATAGTTGTAGCTTCTTGAACTTGACCGGTCAACAATTTTTCGAGATTTACTAACAATTCTACTGCTAGATTGACATCCGGCTGCTTATCGTTAACGTACTTGATTTCTGTTTTAGGCACTTCAGAAGAATTAATAATATTCAAATTGTCTTCGCTATTGTTTTTAGAAGACACGTTCCCAATCACCGAGTTATCATCGTTGTTGACAGCTTGTGATGTATTTTCCAATTTGCACGTTACATTTACCTGCGATTTTTCATTATCACATTTATTTTCTTTGAACAATGCCTTTTCGCTGTTTTCCTCGCTTTTAGGTTCGTCTGACTTTTCCAACTTCTCACTGCTGTCGGACAATCTTTTCTGTGGGCTTTGAAGATCGTTGGACACATTGAAACATGCTCTCAACAATTCCGTGTTATTTTCGCAATTAACGTTTAAAACAGTTTCCAGATCACATAGTAATTTATTAACTTCTGAATTGTTTTCTGTATTGATTAATCGTTTGAGATCTGACAATAACGAATTTATAATTTTCTGTTTTGCAACAAGAGAAGTAAATTGCGCGTCCACTTCTAATTCCTTCAGAAATTTATCACGCGAATTATTATTATTATTATTATTATTATTTACAGACAATTGTGTTTTATTGTCATATTTAGTGGTAGTATTTATTTTTTTTTCCGGTGAGACAGGTAGTTCAATTAAATCATCTACCACAGGTTCATTCTCAAATGCTGGAACCAACTCTGATATCCACAGATTATTACTCGAAATTAAATCGTCATCCATAGCTGATAAGAGAAAATTAAAAAAAATAATAAAAGCATTGAAAGTATTTATAAATCATTAAGATGTGTACAAGATTGTTTTTTTTTTTTTTGACTATTGATAAAACACTCACATCCAGAATCTGATCTTAGTGCTAATTCTTCAAAAGTCCTTGCGAGTGCCTTGGCCTCGGTAAAGATCGCCTTATTCACTTTGCTACTATCCTGCAATCAAATTGGTATTAGTTGTAATATAAAAGTAAATCGGAAATTATTCTTGCAAAACTTTTATGTTTTAAGCATAAGTACTATTTATGACTAATTAGTTTTTAATTACTATTTATGACTAATAAATTACAATTCTCTTAGAGATTTAATAATAAAAATCTTACAGTAGAAGCAGAATCCGTGGAGCTACTGGAAAATGAACTTTTATATTCTTTACTAGTGTTTTGTGGTGGTACAAACACATCAACATCTATCAGTTTGTCATCTGTGATTTGTTTGTTATCTTCTTTCGTGGAATTCTCATCTGTTGTGCTTGTGACTGTACTGTTCATAACACATTTCAATTTTTGAAGTCTTTCTGCTAGATCTGACAAGTCGTATTGTTTCGCTTTTATTTCTGTAGAATTCTCAGGTGTGTTTGTTGTTTCTTGATTTGTTTTTGCAGAACTGTTATCCAAGAAAGCGTGATTCATAGGATCAAGTGACAAGGATGAAGCAGAAGTCCATTTTGTTATTGATGATATATTTGACAAAGAAGAAAATGCAGAACACTCACTCTGCTTGCTCTCTATGAAACCTCTATTTAAGCTAGATGATTCAATACTGTTGATATCACTTTGTGAAGTTGCAGATTGTGATCTTATAATTTGACACGATTTTTTTACTGGTGATTCCACAGCTCCCTGTGATAGAGATCGTTGAAAATTGAGCGGTCTTAAACTAGCAGGCTGTTTTTCAAAAATAGAAAACACATCGTCATCCTCTTTACATTTGGGAATTACATCTGACAGTGAATCATTCATTGCGGACTGGTTCAGAATTGACAACTCAAAGAGATTTACAACACTTTTGTAATTCTGAGTGATACTTTCTGTTTCATTATTATCACAGATACAAGTCTTACTTAAACCATCATGTGCTTCTTCAGTTGTGGTTTTTTCTTTCCCAAACAAATTCAATCTATCCTCAAGCAAAGATTCATCCAATACGTCCAGTGTTTTGTTCATCTTTTTGAGATATCTTTTCTTACGTATCGGAGTGAAATCATCTGTAAAACCACCCACAGGTGACTGTTCCTTCGAGTCCGCGCCTTTTTTACTTTTGAATCTTATGGCTCGTTGCAACATCATCTCGAAAGGATCGCCCTTTTTGCTGATGTATTCGGCGGTTTCGTTAAGTACTTTATCAAACGGATTATTGCCGACTAAATTCTCGCGTTTCTCCGTTTCCAACGAGTTCTTAGATTCGACATTTTCAGGCGCTGGTATTAACGGCGACGCCAATTTCATCGGATCGCGCAACCCCTTCAGATCGGGGCTGTTTAAATCGATCAGATCGCACATTGCGCTCCGTTTCACAAATTGATCAACCATTTTTGATATCTCGGTGTTTACAGAGTACAAATGCAAACTCGGTCGTAGAAAATCAGCATGTGCCAAATTCCATACGCATCGAGAAGACTAACGTATGTACAACATAATACCTTTGAAAAACATTTTCAACTGTAACGTAAATTAATGTACAATCAACAAATAGGTTACTTTGCACTACACTCTTCAACAAATTGTACGAATATGATATAATCTAATTAAAGAACGATGATTTTTTCATATATTTTTTCACGTATATCGATGACACGACCCCGACCGGCAGTTTACAGTTAAAAGCTTTTAAATACACCGGAACCGGTAAACGTCCTCTGGACGAGTTGCTAGACATCACCGGAAATCGTTGTGAACGTTAGCGGCGCCACATTGTGAACGTTTTGCTAACTACGTGTAGTCACGTCCAACTCAACAGCGAATAAAACGGATTTGTGTGTCCACGGGGGATGGGTTCGGGTCTAAACTTTCAAAAATTTATATTTGATACGCGCGGGCAAAACATCTCACGCGGTAAAACATATACAATAAATTTTAACCGGTGTTCGATCTTTTCTCCATCTATTTTGAATAATTTTTTTAATATGCGTAGAAATTTTACACACATGCGTGCACAAAAATTTTTTTTATCTCTCGAATATAATTTATTTTATAAAAATTAAGTACACATAAGATGGTATACATTTACAGAATTATATATAAATAATGATATTACCAGGCAAGATGTAAGGCACTTTTATTTATTTAAATGACATATGAATGAATTATCCTAATATGTACAATATTTATATATTTTCGCTAGCTTTATCCAAAAAAAGTTTAATAAAAAGATATACTAATTTTATTTAAAAAAAAAAAAAAACAAAACAAATCGTGCGTACATTTTTTTATATTTACAATTGTTTCGTTTTTTCTTCGCTGTATAAAATCAATTATACTTGTGATATAAAAAAGTTCTATATTATTCTCTCATTTATAATATATTTCGTAGCCCCATAAATATTTATGAGACAACTAGGCACACCGGCTCCAGCAAAAAGTTTATGTATATTGTTCGCTCATTTGTGTGTGTATAAGTTTTATAAAAAATCTCTTTAGAAATGTAAATTCTTAAAACAAATCATGGATGATATAATTATATTTGATTATCTTTACTGCAGTTAGGAAAATACTTATAAAAATAACAGATCTACACAATAATGTTAACAATAATGTGACTCATCGACATTGTCAATATTCTATAAAAAGATAGAGTTTTGTGTTGTTTGTTTTCTTTTTTTAGTATTCACGACAAAATGACACTTTCTTTTAATTTTGCAATAGTTAACGTAACTTTTATGTATGTACTTTTACGTATGGCTTATATATATCCTACATAATACGTTTTAAATGTACAGCCATCGGTATGAAATTTCATTTACTTTGTTGTCTGTGTTGTAAAAGTGATATAAAAATGTGTATATATTGCAAAAAGAGGTATATATAAAAAAAAAAAAAAAAATTTACTAAACGACATTGTTTAGTGCTCACTAGTTTGTGACTATTAAGTAGATACGTGTAACAATTTAAAATCTTTACAGGTACATTAATTGAATTATTCATATATCTCTCTACTTAACAGATATATAAGATTTTTCAATAACACATTCTTATAAAAGATAGAGAAAGACAAAAAATTATAATTGTAGATGCAACCAGATTGTTTACTCTCTAATTAGATACTGTAAAATGGGGCTACTTCAGTTGTCGTTAAGAAAAAAAGTCACTTTTCGATCATTAATAAACATTGAGGAGATGTGTAGAAAAAGTCAGACTTATTTACATTTTTTTTTGTTTCATACAAACAAAAAAGTTGTATCTTTCTGTTTATACTGAATTAATCCCAATTCACAGTAGTGATACATTTGAGCATAGTTATACTAAATAAGACACCCTGTAAAAAATGTCTTGCAACAGTCTTCATTGCAATAGCTGAATATTAAATACAGTCTATAAATTAAAAGTTCTCGATTAAATCTCTCTACGAGATAGCGTATCAATAAGTCATGCTCTCACATTTCTTCTTACGAAATAAAAACTTCGAGATATATCTGTGAGTTCAAAACCACAGGCGCTCGAACACCCTGGTGATTTTTTTTTTTTTTTTGTTTTCGAGAAGACGAGAGAGAGAGTCTCTCACAGAAGATCGCCGATCTTACCGTATCATAAAAGACATAGCTGCACGCGCGATCGTTCTCATAAACGTTGTTCGATAGGCAGCGACCCTTGGAGCAGTGACGGCGGTTCGCTATGTGACGACGTGACGTTCACGTCGGATCCGGTTGCGTCGCCGTTGTTACGACCGTTGTTGCTGCCGTTGTTGTTTTGGCCGTTTAGAAACGACGTCATTTCCATCGGCGACTGTTGTCCGCTCTGGATTTAGAAGAAACATGCGTTCGTTCGTTCGTTCGTTTTCTCTTCTTTTTCAGATCTAGAGCGCGTAATTGGTAACAACGTGCGTGTGTCGCGTTCGGAAAAACAAAAGAAAAGCGGCTCCAGAGAGAGTGCAGAGAGCGAGTAGAATTAAAGAGCAGCGCGCGACCACAATGCTAAAACTAGAAAAGACTAGTCTTCTTAATATATCGGACAAGTTGAGTTCGGATTCTTACACTGTGCTAGACGAGCGCAGAGATTCATGTAGAATTGAAACGTGTAAGACACGAGAAAAAAAGTTCAAATTTCATTAAACTGTGATTAAAAAATAAAAAAATAAAAAAAAAAAAAAGAAAAAGAAAAAGAAAAAAAAATTTCGCAGAAGAAACTCATTATACGGTTTGTTGCAATTAATTCTGCACTCATCTAGAATACTCGTGCAAAACTTCCGGAAAGAAAGTAAATGACTGATTCATTTGAAAATGAAAGACAAACAAAAAATGTCGTGTGGTTTAGAAAAATATTCGTGCATATTTGTACAAAGATCTTTGAAAAACAGAAATCGATGTCTTTATAGTTTTGTCCCGAACGTCAAACGTGAGCAAAAATTCACAAGTTTCGTTACTTTCTTCCGGTGTGAGACAACAGTGCAGATGTTGTTACTTACAAATACTGACCTTAGGCTGCATTATATCATCGGACGCGTCAAGACCCGCGAGCGGATTAGATGTAATGTTAATTTTGGAGTCTGTGACTCCACCGTTCATTACTCGTCCATTCGTTATCGTTTTACTTGTTACCCTTTCTGCGCACAAAAAAATAGAAAAGCAGAAGAATTAATTATTAGTTTTTGTTATAACAAAAAGATTTTTTTTTTTTTTCAAGATTACAAAAACAGTCAGCGCTTTATTCGTTTATTCAGAAGCACGTTACCTTCGTTCTGTGATTCCTGACCCTCTTGCTTGTGCCTCGCTCGTCTGCACATAATGCCGAGACCGCCCAATAAAAGAAGCGACAGTGTGGCCACCCCGACAATTATGAAAGTTACATTGACAGTTTCGTTACTTTCGCCTGGTTTCAGTTTATTTTCCGCCACCTCTTGCTCAGTTTCCAGATCAACTTCCGAATCACTTATTTTTTTCGTTTTCTGTCGCAATATTTGAGAAAATTCCGAAGCCGCGTTCACGGAGAAGCTCTGAATCTTGAATTCGTACGTGGTGTCAGCTTGCAAGTGAGAGATAGTCGTGTTGTAAGCATCCTCCCCTTCGACAGTGGTCTTGACGTAGTCGCCGGCCGACGTGGAGGCTCGATGATATATGTAAAATCCGTCTATTTTCGTCGACTTATCGTTGTTTTGCCAGATCAACAACACCTCATGCGGTCCTATCGCTTCTGTATTGGTCAACAATGGTATTGGCATTTTCTTGCTCTCGATATTTTTATGAAGATGAAACGGCACGGAATTCGGGCTCAATTTATTGTCATTATTCGAGTACACAGCGGCGATTCTGAACTTGTAAGTATGATTGGACTGCAAATCAGTCACCTCGAAAGATCGCACGTGACTCGGAATCTCGGAATTGGCGGTCATCCATTTCGATTGTTTGCTGGTTTGTTCGTCAGTCTGTTTGTTCGCCTTGGAACCAAGTTCCCGGTACTGAACTTTGAAAAATTGTATAGCTAAGCCCTCATTTTCCTTCACTGTCCATCGCACCATAACGCTCGTGTCTGACAGTCTCGTGACGTAAGGCTGATTTGGTGGTATCATCTCTACTGTAAAAAAAAAAAAAAGAGAAAAATTAGATACATCTCAAAAACTTTTGTTTGTGTTTTTAGGAAACAAGATTTCGTATGTAACAATTTTTGTATATGAAATATTTTATAAAAAATATGAAATAAAAAATAAAATAAAAAGATACTAAAATTAAAATGATAATTTACACTTACATACATATGTATATAAGTACATATGTAAAAAATATGTAAAAATGTACGTGTGAGCAAGTTTTGTATAAACTCTCTTTCTCTGTATGTTAACTACATAACCACATATTGAACGTCGAAGTACTAAGATAGTTCATCGAAAAGACTACGTCATTGAGCTTATGGCAAGCAAAGAGAAGGCGCTAGTCGCGGAGAAAAAAATATCCAAAACAACCATCTCGCTCGCGCTTGCTTTCGCCTTCGGCAGTTCGCGAGTCTGACTAGAGACTCCGCCTCTGTAAACCCACGCAAATAAGCCTCGCTCGATCGTCTTGGTTCGCTTTTAAATATATCAATCTCGATGTCAGAATTGTCTAATACAGAGAGAAATTATATTATGTGTGTGCTCTCACATTTCTTTTTTTTTTTTTTAAGGCTAGATATAACAGTGAAGATACAGTCGTATATAGTTTTGAGAAAAAATAAACTTAAATAGTTTTAAATATGTGAATATTATTTAAAGATGCGCACAACAAGCTCTTTCTTTTCTGCGCCAGGATGTGTTAAATTATAAATATCAAATCACAAAATAAAAAATACACTGTAAACACATGTTTCTTAATTATGTTTAGAACAAAACTCGGAAAGATTTTCTGTCTGAGAGAAATCAGAGATTCAACTTTGTAACTACCTGTACCCTTCTTCTGTTTGTCTGTGCGTCTAATACCACCGCCGCCTCTGGTGTGCTTTCCTATCGATGCGTTTATCTCGGCGGTTGTGTTTGGCTGCGACTCGGTTGTACCGATAATGTGCTGCTTCGGAGTAACTTTCAGTATACTGTATCCCGAGTGCGATCCGTATTCGTTGCTCGCGACGCACTGAACGATTCCCGCGTGTTTCTTCTCAACTTCGGATATAAAAAGGGTGGATCCTCTGATGATCTGAGTTTTGCTTCGCTTCAAGGTCTCGCCGTTGATAAGCCACTCAATGGTCGGTTCGGGCTCGCCCGTCACGCCACAGAAGAGCTCCAATTCGCCACCCTCGAAGAACATGGACTCTTCCGGTTGATTGATGACTCTCGGTGGCTCCACCACTTTGAGGATTATCATCGTTTTGATTCGATGATAGTCGTTGTTCAACTGGCAATCATATTCCCCGCGATCGGACGGCTGCACGTGGACTATCGTCAGACCTTCGGACGTTACCACCGACTTGAGCGGCAGAGTGCTGCCCAAACGGCTCCAAAAGACACGCGGCACCGGATAACCGGCGCCGTAGCACTCCAACGTAACGTTCTTGCCGCGCAGAACCGTGTATTCCGTTTGCGGCTGTTTGACGAAGGACAGCGGTTGATAAGTCGTGTTTGCGTGCACCGTCAAAATCGTCTTGTGATTAGCCTCGGACACTTGCATCAGTATGTAATTGTTTGCTTTACAGTGATACGATCCGCTGTCCGCTATCGTTGCGTTCTTGATGACCAAAGTCTTGCCATTCACCAGATTCACATCTTTAATCAGCTTGTTGTCCTTATAAAACGACACCAGAGCCCTCGGTTCGGAGTGCGGAACGGGACACGTGATGGGCACCGTATTGCCCTGCGCCACTTGGATAAGCACGTCGTTCTTATCGGAGAATTTCTCTATCTCCGCAAGCGTCAATCTCGCTGGATCCGACGCTAAACCGGGTGTACCTGCAAACAATTAAAGAAAAAAAAATATATATTTATTACCTTTTGGTACAAAACTTTAAAAAAAAAATCGTCTGTTTAATATCATCTACGTATGTGTAATATTGTCTTTAGCGTACGTTCACCGTAAAATGCAACACAACGGTAGTCGCCGGCTCTCGATTTGTTGTCAAAATTGACAACGTACTGTGACGTTTTGCCGCCGGGCAGATAGGCCAGCCGTTTCCATTTCTTTGACACCAGAGGCCTGTGATACCAAGCGAAACGCCTCGCGCCAATGTTGAGGCTACATTCGAAGTTCACGGTGTCGTCCAACGGAGCGGCCAGAGGCTGCGGCTGCCGGGTGAAGAACATAGCCAGAGACGACTTCTTCTCTCCTGTGACTGGTCATAAAGCGACATGCGATTATTGATCTTTGTTTTGCCGTAGACGCAGAGTAATGGTAATTTTTACAGCAAAATATCCGGAATATAATTTGTTGCATGCGTCCAATTCTTATAAGGAACGGTTTTCCGGAAACTTGGATAATTATTTAGATCCTGATGACTCACCATGCGATCCCGCGATCGGGCCGCAGAACAGGACAACGACGATGCCACATAAAGAGAGAATAGACGTCATCTTGACACATTCTGCGAACACAGAAAGAAAGCAATATCGCGTATTATATATGTATGTATATATACGTTAAGTGGGCATTTCGCTCGCTCGCGCGCGCGTCTCTCCTCAATTCTTCCGGTTCTCGATTGCGAAGAAAAGCAAACAACGTTGCGCGCGGTTGTGTGCGCGCCGACGAAGACTCACTAAAATTAATACCGAGCACAAGCACGTCGTTTAAGTTTAGAACGCCGAGTTCACGAGAAAATAGAACAACATTTTTCGCGCCCTGCAACGTGTTAAGTGACCGGATTGTGACAACAATCGTCAATGATGTATTATAAATAAATTACGCCCAAATTTTACGCGCGTGTATATACGTGTGAATAAAAAGAAATGTATAGCATCTTTTATAAAGATTGAAAACTTTGCAAAAAATATGTACCAGAAAAGCCTAACGTGCGCGTATATCGACGTCGGCATGACAAGTCGAGTGACAAGGGCGCTCGAGCGAGAGAGATCCGCGTGGCTGTCTAGAAAATATCCATATACGGGATCGAAAGCTGCCGCTGTTCATTGCGCAGACTGTTTTACACCCACGTGCTTACGCGCGACGGCCGCGAGATCATCAGAAAACCGCACGTACACGCGCGCGCCTGAGAGGCGAACGTGAAGAAAACGACGGGTGTATAATGATTTCTTTTTCGTTTGAGTTCTCTAACGCGGTGCGCGTAGGTATATAACCATTCGCACAGAAAAGAAAGAGAGAGAGAGAGAGAGAGAGAGAGAGAGGGAGAGAGAGATCATGGCGTTGTCTGTGTACACAGTGCAACAGAGCACCCACGCGCGCGTCGAAACCATCGCGTTGATGTTTTCTCGATGATGGAAAAGCTTGCCGAACGAGAAGAACCTCGGCGCATCGAATTCGACTTCTTCGACCGCGAAAAACGACAATCTGCGCTATTCAAACACATTAACAATTGCAAATTGTTAATTCTTAAACGTATTGCGAATCGGAGCGACATCCGCAAGTGCTCCTTCGCTTCGAAAATAGATTTTACACCTTCTTCGATTTGCAAATGTCAAATTGCAAATCGCTTAATCAGCGCGAAATATAACTAACGTAAATCTTTGAGCTAATATACCGCGCAATCAACACGCGAACAACAAGATAATTGGTACAGTTTCTCTTCTTTGACAGACTTATAGGTACTTCGGTAATCGGAGATTTTTGAGAGAAAGAGAAGAGAGAAAGAAACACAGAGAGAAATAAATAAACAAATTAAGAGGAGAGAAGAGGACGAGGATAACGAAAATTTTTTTAATAGGAATTTTAAGAGTATATATAAGAGCGACCCCTTTTTCAATATATCTCAACTTTTTATCATTCCGACCGAGCGGACTTTTGAAAGGGGTACGGAGCGGAGACAAAAAGCGAGGAATAAAGGACGAGAAGGAAGAAAGAGAGAAAGAAGATAGACGCAATTTGAGTGTGAGCACTATCGATGTGCGGTGGCAGCTCACCGCGTTTTATGTGTACGAGGATACTCTTAACTTCTGGTTAAATGGTAGCATAAATGGCAGTGGTATGTAACAGGTGAGAAGGGCCGCAAAAGAGGCTGGTTCCCGATGTTACCTTTCTCTCTCTCTCTCTCTCTCTCTGTCTCTCTCGTAAAAATAAAGAAGCCCGAATTCCAAAGCAGTGGTTGTCCACTTCTTTCTCCTCTACCTTTTCCTGGCGCCGCGTGCACGCACGGCACGCACGAAACGCGGCCGGATGTATATGTGTGTGTGTGTGTGTGAGCGCGGTACTACCACCACACGCGCGACCAATACGCTTAACACGCGTTATCCGTAGCGCCATAATTACGCGCCTAATCCGTCCAATGCGGGCGCTTTCAACGATTTAATCGCAAACGTCGGGGCGTATATAAGAGAGTAAATCACCGCAAGAGAGGTACGCAAATCGAATTATGTAATTGCGAATAATTTATTTAATTGTGTCAATAATCAATTTGGACTTTTAAGCAGCGTGTGTATATGCAAACAAGTTGTGTTAGCTCTCAAGCGGAGATGGACGTTAAAGAAAAAAAAAAAAATAAACTTTGCTTGAAATTACTGCGCACAACTTTTCTACACAGTCTTCTTTCTCTCTCTCTCTCACTCTCACACACACACACTCACTCAATCTCACTCTTATACGCTCTAAATGTGCAATAAGAAAGAATCAAGTTACACATTTTATCTCGTCTCCGCATCTATCAATCAAAAAAAGATCTTTTTACCGAAAGATCTTTTTTTCTATCGAAATACGACACACACCCGTCGTATACTTTTCTGCTCCATACGAAATGCGCGCCCGTGCCATAAATGACCATTGATGTCATTAGTATTCCTGTGCAAGACTCTTTCTTTCTTTCTTTCTTTCTTCTCTCTTCTATCTCTCTTTCATTTTATCGAGGTGCGTTTATGGGATCGAGAATCGCGATCGCACGACGCACGACGTAAGATATCGAGCTTGTTCACCTCGTTAGCAGGTGAGGAACTGTTTGAACAAGTAGAGGAATTTCGGAGCAAGTGGAGGAAACGTGCGCGCGCGCGAGATTATATCTGCTATTTAAAGAACGTAAAGGCAATTCTGTATCTTCCGAGGTGATAACATCAAAAAAAAAAAAAAAAAAAAAAAAAAACACGTGTATCGCACACAAACTTGTTAATTAAATTACTATTCATATATTGTGTGTTTTAATTAATAAGTAAATATTTATAAATGTTTTTTTTTTTTCAATGTGATCCTTGATTGTTTTACGGTGCGTTTAATGGGATCGGTGGCAATGGCGATCGTAAGAAGTCGATTGTGCGCAACAGCGGGATCGAGAAACGAGACATTCGGATCGTAAAAAATGCCATAGAACAGATTGGGAAAAAAAAAAAAAAAAAAGAGAAACGAGAACAAAGTCTCGTGCGAACATTCGCAGGTAAAACACGCAGGTAAAGCACGAAGATAGCGAACAAAAAGTCACTTCCATTTTAGTTTTTCTGCGTATTGTAGATTTTATCTTTCGTGCCACAGCATCCGAATACTCTGGTTTCACCTCTTCGTTTTTTTTTCTTTTTTCTACGCTTCCTCTCTCTTTCTCTGTGTATCTCATCCTATTTGTTCTCTCTACATATTCTCTCCGTTCCACTTTTTCAATTAAAAAAAACCTACAAAAAAAACTGCAAAACAAAGAATATCAAAATTTGTCGAGACGAGGTTTCGAACATGCGTGTACGTACTAATACGAATAGCGAGTCGTTTAATCTTTCCGATCTTGAACGTGATCGCTTTTATTTTATTCATTTATTGCAAAAACGCGAACAAATATAGAAAACACTCGCGGGAAAACACGTTTATTAAAAAAAAAAAAAAACTTTACTAAGATCTCAGTGCGACACGAACGAGAAGAGTCCGGACTCCGACATCCACTCTTCAAGATTCAATTCGATCTAATTTGCGACGCGAACGAGAGCACGAGCAAAAATCGAGGAAACGATCTTTTATCGGATTTGATCCGGAAATCGCGTTTAGTTTTCCGACACACGGAACGACGGAGATTCGAAAACTCTCTCTTACTTAACCAACTCACGCGGAACAACAATTTCGACAACAACGGAAAATGATGTTAAAAGCGATGTAAAAAATGCACCGGCGATCAGCAATCGATCCGACCGAGTCGAGATCACTCGCCAGGTGCGCTCGCACGCTTACCCTTTTTTTCGGTCCCGCGCGACCGTAAAGCCGACGCCGTAAGATCCACCACAGCGCAGTTAATTCCTCGCGAATTTGCAATATAGCGGGGATTAGGAAGGGGGACGAGCGGAGCACGCGTTGTTTCCCTCGTGTCTGTCTCGCAGCAGGTGTAAAAAAGATGTCCTGAGAAGCCCTACGGAGGCCCCGGCCGCTCCTTTGTCGTTTGTGTCACGACGCGGGTTCCAGCGTGCAGTTCCGGCGTCTTCTCACTTTTATCCCGTCTTCTTCTCTCTCTCGCTTCAGTCTCTTACTTCATGTTCACGCTCTTTTGCGGTTCTCTAAACACGACAGAAGTCGCACAGATATTAACCGCGAGAATCCCGTGCAGCCAACGGTTTCGCGTGTACCGGGGACGCGCGCCGGGAACGAATTATACCTGACGACGTTACCGCTCTCCGCTCTCAGCTCCGCGTAGCTTCCTTGACGTTCGCTGACGGCGACACTGGAATGCAGACCGACTGGTTTTGAACCGCCGACCGGACCGTGCGCTACGCAGCGGCGGCGCAGCGAGTCGGCGGAGGGATGCTGTGACGATATAGCCGCCGCGCCGCGGCTATGTGGTGGGATTGTGGAATGAGATGTGAGGTGGTAATATACCACCGTGTGTGTGGTTGCAACAAGTTGCGGCGCTCTGGGCTTCGTCGACATTTTCTTCTTCGTTCCGCGGCGGCATAAGGTTTCCCGCACTTTTCTCTTGTCGCATTAAAATGAGACGCGTTTATAGACGAGATAGTTGGAGAAAAGAAGAGGATGAAAGAAAGTGTAGTAAAAGTTTGAACGAGCGCCACTTCGGAACGCGCACAGGTTGGCGCGCCTGTCGTCACGTGATCTAACACGCACGCGCATTACCCACGCGAATTTCAAATTACTTTAATTAAGAAACAAAAAATTGAAATTCTCTCTCACTCAATGCGAAGTGACTTGTTGAAATCCTTCGTTTTTTTTTTTGTGCTCGTACTGTTGTTTGTGACGAGCGAACAATAAATTAATAAATATACACAAGTTGTGCAAAATCAGTTGTCGCAAAAGTCAGAAATGTGCAAAGTCGTGTCGCGATAGTTACCTTACTCGCAGTCGGTGTGTAGCCGCGAATGTCGAGTTGCGACGTCGGTCACTCGCGCGTCGCGTCGTTCAACCAACACGTGAAGGAAAAAGACGAGAAACCACTACCTCTATTTTCTCAACAAACAAAATTCAGGCACTTCGGACGAGGTTTCAACGCGCGCATGCGCACCGATCGCGCATCATCGCAGGGGAAGAGTTTCTGCTAGAGACACTGACTGTGCGCCGAGATGACACCTGGATGACACCGATTAGTGACTTCTGGTTCTTGTGTGACATGTGTGTCTCGTTTCGCTGCGATGAGACGACGTAACGGTAGATTTCCTCAAATTGCTCGGTAATAAGAACACTCGACGAGATTAATCCGCTTCAATGAGCGACAATTGCGGTATTTTATCAATCAACTGGATCTCGGATTAAAATACACGCGAGGATGTTGATTTCTTTAGCTGATAATGATCCATATGATTGTTTCTTTGACGTTTGTCGCGGTTGAAATTAAATACGGTTCGGTGTATTTTCTCGGTTGAAAATGTGTGAATTGTCTTATTGTCATCTTTTAGTTTTTATTTAACATTTGTATGTTTTAGTAATTTATATTTATATAATTGATCGCACACACACACACAATCGTTCACACCAAAGATTAATGTCTCAAAGTCCCATCGCAATTATTTCTTTGAAAATATTGTAATTGATTTTATAAATGACGTGTCTCTCTTCTGCCAGATGTCACAATATAAAAGAGTCATTGATTCATTGGAATATCACAGATTGGTCAAGGATGTCAGTCTGCGGACGATCAGAGCGGATAATGTAACAAAGGCATTTCGAGAGAGGTCTTGCTTCATCGGAGAAAGAAAGATCATTTAAATGTCTCAGACAAATGATGTGGTGATTTTGCCTGAACTCAGTAAGCGCGTGTATGATTATTGGGGAACGATTTGCAGAGAGAGATGGGAATTCACATAAATCTCAAGTGCGGAAAGTAATCGCTATATAAAAATACAGAACGAGTTGACAGAAACTCGTGAAATTTATCATATATAAAGATATCACCGTCGCACAAACAAAACAATACAAAATGGCTTTGGACGCATTTCTGGTGGAGATTATATTCGCGTTCGTGCTCGCCGGCACGTTGCTCTTTCAATATGGAAACATGTTCCGGCAACACATAATAGTCACCTTTTCCGTATTGATAGCTTGGTACTTTTCTTTACTGATAATCTTCATATTACCTCTGGATGTCGCCTCGGTAATTTAATACTTTTATTAATATTTTTAACGTACGAGTTGAATGTATGATTTTATGTAAGTCAGACTGTTGATTTTGATGAAAGAGTAGATAGAACAAAATCATATTTTTTTTTGCAGACTGTATTCAGACAGTGCGTGGAACAAAATATACACAACAACACTAAGAATTCTGATAACACCACCTCTACGCCACTTGTCACTTGTAGAGAACCTTGGCCGAATGTGCCGGAAAATGTGTTTCCAAATTTATGGAGAATAGTTTACTGGACATCCCAGTGTCTTACATGGTTGATACTTCCATTGATGCAGTCTTACATAAATGCAGGAGACTTCACTGTACGTGGAAAATTGAAGTCTGCTTTGATAGACAATGCTATATATTATGGCAGTTATTTGTTCATATGTGGTATACTTTTGATATATATTGCTCTGAAACCTGGGTTAGATCTCGACGGGTGAGTTTTGTTAAATTATACGTAAATTTATATTAAAGCACACTAGTCATTATTGTATTAAAAAATATGGAGGAGTTTGAGGTATTTCTCTAAAATAAATAAATGTGTAATTTATATCCTGTATTTGTTATCTTGTAGGCAAAAATTGAAAGCCATAGCGTCATCCGCATCCAACACGTGGGGCTTATTTTTATTAGTTTTACTGCTTGGATATGCACTCGTAGCTGTTCCTAGAAGAATATGGAATAAAAGTAAACTTGGCTATACGTTAAATTACAAATACTTCAGGGTGGCAAAGTTGAGCTTGGAAAAATGTGAGGCGGAAGAGGCGGTAGATGATATACTCGAGGTATAACGCTTTTCTGCGCGCGATACATTACGTTTTACAATACGTGAATTTTTTGCGTGACAAATAACAATTGTTTTAAATTAGTCCTTACAAATCGCATCAATATCTATCGGGCCTGGTCACCCGTTGCATTGCAACTTGGAAACGATATTCCAAAAGATACCCACGGAATTGAAGGACAGAATGAATAGAAGACAATTGCCCGATGATACTCCAGCAGACACACCTACCGAAAAGTCTTTGATTCGTTTACACAGACAGGTTTGTTAATCAGAAGACACAAACATTATGATGTATCTTACGGACTTTTTTTTTTAAATGTTACTATAATTTTTTCAGACCATAAAAGCATTGCAAACTTTGCAACGCATAGAAACTCAATGGGGCATTTTAGTGGGTAAGATCTTCAATTTAGAAGACATAGTAAAGAATCAAGTGAGTCACGATAGAAGATTTAAACCGTCTTTTCCCACACACCGCGCGCTGCCACTTCGCATCATCTTCAATCCCGTTATTGGTATGTGACATTTTTTTTGTTTTAAATTTTATATACGTTTAATGCTCGTGTGCGTGTACACGTATGATTCGAATGATTTCAGAATGGTATTGGAAGTGCGTCGTGAGCATCTACATTTTTAAGATTGGTGCTATCTGCGCCGGCTGCTTGTCGCTGGCTGTGGTATGGTCGGAGGTGACATTCTTCAACAAATCTCCCGTGCTATCGATATTCGCTCAGATTATCAATCTAGCAAAGAGACACTATGATTACTTCTTGATCGAGGTGCGATGATTACACGCGATTTGTATTTTATACTTCGTCGCAATATCACGAATGTTGATAATCATCAGTATATGCGTATTCGATTTTCAGTTGCTGTCTGCTTTTATCATCTCGTATGTTTGTTACTGCGCCTATTCGACCGTTTTGAGAATTCGCGTGTTGAATCTTTATTACTTGGCGCCGAATCATCAGACGAATGAGTACAGTCTGATATTCAGCGGCATGATGCTGTGTCGCTTGACGCCGCCTATATGTCTCAACTTTCTGGGACTCATTCACATGGATTCTCACATCATCAAAACGCATATTCTGGAAACGCATTATACCCAGGTGATAATTTGTTCAAACGGATCAGCGGACTTCCCGTAAAGACGTTTAAATTTATTATTACACATATCTGTTATGTTCAGGTGATGGGTCACATGGATGTTATTTCGATAATATCCGATGGATTCAATGTGTATTTCCCTATGGCGATTCTGGCGTTTTGTCTGGCGACGTATTTCAAGATAGGCAGCAGATTGCTCTCTATGCTAGGTTTTCAACAGTTCCTCGAAGACGACGAGTTTACGACAGATCTCGTGGACGAGGGAAGAGAATTGATAAAAAGAGGTGACACCTTTTTAACGTAAAACATTATTTTGTTAACTTATTACATCCATTTATTACAGAATATAAAAAGTATATTATAACTCGACTATTTCTATCCAGTATATTAAAAGTGATCACATTTCGCGATTAGATAATAAGCGTATTTATTTTTGATACACCAGAGAGACGCAAACGGCAAAGAGCGGAAGATTCTATGTATAGGCGACGCGAATTGCAAGAGAGATTTAATATTTCCGTGGGCACAGGCTCGCGTTACAGAACGTCCCGACAAAGCACAGACACTGGTATATACATACATAAAAAAAAAAAAATTTATATATATAAATATATATTTCTAAATTGTACAAATAATATTATTATTCCACAGTACGGCCGCTGAAACGAGACGAATCGGTCGAATCGGCGAGGGCGGGTCTGCTGCATGATTTTGATCCTGCCGAGTATTACATCGGCATGACATTCGGGAGCGAGGGTTACGGCGCGAACAATCGCTGCGACGAGGACAACCAAGGTGATAACGATTCGTACGATCCGAGCGTGAACACGAGGGCGTACTCCACGAACACGAGTCGCGTGGGTCCTCCGCCCAGAGGATTATTCGACGACATTTAAAAAGTGACATTTATTTCCGCGACTGGTGCGAGTGAAAAAAAACTATAAACTGGTTTTTAGAATTTACACATGTTTATATCGAGCAACACGTACGCGGGTCTGTCGACGTCACATCGGATAAAATTGTGACTTAAAAATTTAGTGCAATAACATTTTATATATAAATCGTATAAACACACATTGAAATTTTACACGCCTCTAGTATCTTATTAAAATCAATTATTCAAACGTCACAAGTTAAAGTAAAAATTATACTATCGTGAGATGTAAAACCAGTCGTAGCTTCTTTACGAGAACGAGCAGGCAGGGAGAAGAGAAGTTTCGTGAAATCGATCCCAAAGCGAAAGAGAATTCGGTTCGAATCATAATTGTTGCACCTCGTTATTTTGTAACTTATAACGATTAAATTCGTTAACGTATATCGTTGCGCAGCTACTTTGTAATATAATTTTGTTTACGCAAGAATATTCGTAACGTAATAAGTTACAGAAATATCGCGAATGCGTCAGAATAAGTTACGGAACAGGTTCGCTGGGCTCGGCAGTGCAAAAACAAATTTATTTATTATCTGTTTTGTAAGAATTGATGAACTGCAGATGTAGCGTGTGTCTCGATTATTCTTTCTTTAGTTGTATATATAATTAAGTTTACGGTGAAGCTAATAAATAATTTATATAGAACTCTATCGAATCACATGCCCGAAACAGTTATTTATTGATACTTAATTTTTTTGTAAATAATGTAAATTGTAGATATATAGTTTTTTTATTTTATTTTTCATCTATGTACATTTGTCGATCTTTTATAACAGTCCGATTTTACATCTCTAATTTGGCGTAATATTGTTGTATGTGTACGATTTTATTGAAAATAATACGAGAAAATTCAGACAAAATCTTATTTGAGTTCATAATCACAAATTTTCCTGTTCGCGCGCTTTGCGATTTCTAATTCTTACAAATAATGGCCATGTAATATTAATCCATGTTTGAAAACGGAAACTTAATTAACACTAGTGTGTAGTGACAAAAATTATTAACTGAATTCAGAAGAAAGATCAAGGGGAAAAATACTTAAAAAGAGCGAGTTACAGTATCTCTCATTAAAAAAATCCATGTGTACCGCAAAGTGCGCGTTTTTGAGTCGAATGAACACAACATTAAATAATACATATTATATATACATATAATTTATTATATATTTATAATCTTATACTTTATATTGTATTATATGTATTATATACATACTACAGAAATGTCACTCACCTCCGCCGCGCGACTTTGGCGGGGTCACTGACCTCGGCCGCGCGGCCTTGGCGGGGTCACTGACCTCGGCCGCGCGACCTTGGCGGGGTTATTGACCTCGGCCGCGCGACTTTGGCGGGGTCACTGACTTTGGTCACGTGATTACGGTATATATATATGTGTGTGTGAGTATTATATATAGATATGGAATATTATATATAATATATATAATATTCTCTCGTTTTTACTCTTTTCCTTGTCACGTGACTTTAGTCATATGGTGTTTCTCTACTTCTCCTTGTTACGTGTTGTTTTTCCACTCTTCCCTTTGTTTAGTTTTTGAGTTTGATTTTCATGTGTTATTTCTGATATCTCTCATTTGTACTTCATGTGTATTATATGGTTTGTAAGACGTATATATTAGCTGTCATAATTCTATCGCGATAACAGGTTGTGTTTACTGACAACACGTTAAAATAAAAACAATAACAGCGTGCGCGTAGCGCGCGCCTGTGTTAGTAAATGATAAAAAAACATAATCGCGCGTGATACCGAATTGTAAATATGTGTACAAATAATCTTAAAAAGCTCAATTTTTGGCATTTATCGAGTCGTTTGGGTAAATAAGAGTAAGACTTAATTGTCTAGGAGTTTTGTCATCTGCTTTATTGTAGATTATTTGTTTATTGTATCTTTCCCGTAATACATAACATACATCTAAAATATAGTCGACATTTTTTAATTCATATATAAAATATTTATTTTGTTACTTGAAAATTCCCCCAAAAATATATCGTATAAATTTATTGCACATCGGTAACAATAGGAACTATTTAAACATTTTGATTTTCAAACAGACAACAAATTAGGTTTTGACTTTTTTAGTGCTTCGAAAACACGTTTATGTTAAATAATTCGTTTTCATTTTTTGCAATATCTTCATAAAATTATTTCAAACCCAACCACATTATTCTAGATTGTAACAAAGCGTACACGAAACATATAATTATACGATAATAAATTAAAAACAACATAATGAGAATTACACGTTTGTTAAAAAATGAATTACAAGTTTGTTAAAATTTATAAAGTACATCTTTATATCACGTTGCGACTAAACGGACGTAAAGAGAAAAATTCGTTTAAGAAATGGACAGTTCAATCTCTTTGATTGCGGTAATTGTACGCCGGCGAATAATTGTAAAATAATGAAATTCCATAAATAAATCTGTGAAAACACACAATACATATATATATATATACTTTGAGACAATATAAAATTAATAACGATAAAATGTATTATATTACTTAAGCTTCTCTAATCTCTAATGCAGTGCGATATATAAATTGTATTTCCCTAGACGAATTCGCAATTTTTTCGAGAAACAAACCAATCAGCGCTTGTACGACGACTAAGTGAAATAAACAATGTAAACTGTAATGCTCGCAAGAATAAAAAACGATATTACGTAAGCTATTAATATTTTGATAATTTTTGCGCGTTCCGATCGCAAAGCGTGATTCTTGATGTTTTTTTCGTGCCCGGACCTAGCCATTTCCGGCATCAGCAGTAACGGCTCCAGCAGCAACAGGCTTGACCTGTGTCCCCGATGTTCATCCGGACGATCTCTAAGTTGCTGCATTTGATAGAACAGCGAATCCTGCGAATCGTTGTACCAGCTAATGCGTTTCGTGCAGTACGCGACGGTGTTGCGACCGCGATGAGAGAATACCGTCGGTGAGCGACCGGCTCTCGAAATTCTCACGTGAAAGTTGTTCGCGTAGCGATGATATAATTGCGTATTCGCTATTACATTGCTACGGCAAGCTCGATTAATAACACAAATACTCGGCTTCAATAACGGCTTCAGATCGAAAACGTCTTGAGGCCAGGAGCGAGAGTAGAGTATACTCGCGCTGTTGGTCTTCACGTAATTGTAGACAAGCATACAGTCCCGATAGCGATCAAACTGCGAGCAAAAAGCATCATCATCATCATCGGATTTATTATCTTGCAGATATTTGAAGCACAAAGCGTCATCGCGTTGACACAGAACTACTTCTATGGCGAGCAACGACTCCTTCGCATAGATCAAACGATCGGTATATACCGGACTGCGCCTCATTCTCATGCATTCCTCGCATATCTTGCGCTCCGATAGAACAAGCGTGTCTGCCAAAGTGTTCGTCGTGACAGAGTTGTACTTTTCGTCGCAATCCCGAGTGTCGTCTCGCTTCTTGGACGATCCTACTTCTTCGTAGAGATGATGCGTGATGTTTGGTAAAACAGTCGGAAGAACTTCGTTTCTTTCGTCATCGTGTTTGATTGACACGCGTTGCTCAATGTCCCACTGATGATCCTCGCAACACGTATTATCTTTCATATCTGATAAAATCTCATCCGTCAAATTGTCAGTATAATGAAACAAATTATACAGGTTGGCGAAATTCGCATCATCTGGTTCGCTATCAATTGCAGAAACTGATTTGTTCTCAGCAATCGGAATAACGTTCTTCTTTATAGACGTGCTTGCAGCGGCGGCTATGGAAGATCCGTGAATTTGTCTATTCGTTACGTCTACGTGCAGAATATGATATGCGTGTGTTTCCGGTGTGCGTTGTGTCGCTACTGCTTCGACGGGAAGGCGTAGATTCGTGTCGTTCGCTTTGCTCCTAGATTCACTACATTCTGTTTCTAACTTTAATTGCTCTAAGTGTAACTGGCGGTGGTGAACACACGCAAAGTGATATCAATTCGCGGATTTTACTTCTTCCGATTGTAATTCCTGTTTTATTTTCTGCAGGTCGTGGAGTACCTGAAATAAACAAAAAATAAATAAATAAATAAAACAAACATATACAGTGCTTTTACATAATAAAGCTTGTTTATCTCAAACACAAACCTCTATTATGGAGGAAGCGCTCCATGCCTGAGTGCGGCAACTATCGTTACAATAAGCTCCGTCTTTGTTGGTTAGCTCGGGCAGTCCTCTCCAATGATTGGTGGACGTTTCAATGAAGTGCTTTGAAATAATAGCTTCGGTCGATTCAACCGCGTGACGTAATTCATCCTTACCGCCGACCAATGATGCGAAGTGTAAACGTGCTCGCAAGAAATATCCTATCGGCCAGATCCACTCCTGGAAAGATATATTAAAGCGGATATTAAAAAAAAAAAAAAATATGTCTCATTACAAGGCGCGATTAAAATCTAATTAAGCGATAAAGATTGCGTACAGGTCCTTGATGATAATTCCAACCGTGTGCTACTTTAATGTCGGTGCTATCGTTGGAATTATCGTAATAACCGTTGTACGCCCAATCTGCCGGATCCAGTGTCTTCATTCCCAGTGGACCTAATAATATTTCTTCCGCTTTCTTCAATGCCGTCCAGGCGTGATTAGGATTGAACAATTCTGGAGCCTGTTTAAAAAAAAAAAAAATCACAGTATTGCTATATTTTTGTTATTGTAAAACACACCAGATATTTCGCGATACTTCGCGATACTCACAACAACCATGGTGATAGGGAAGTTAGGTCGCAACTGATAATCGGCCCATTCTTGCGTCGCTCCGTGACTATCCTTGAATATGCCTCGCCGATGAATCAAATTGGGTTTCAACTCGCCTTCCGTCGGAACCTCATTTACGTAAAAGTATTTCTCGAAGTTTGCCTGAATTTTGTCGGCCCACTGCTTGTAACTCCAAGTTATCGTTTGACCGTCGCGGCTCTTACGCTGAACGCTACCGTACGGGAACAGATTCTGCTTGTATAATTCGGCCAGAAAACTGAGAACGCTCTTGCTCAGTCCGACAATCTCCACAGCGGAACCGTTTCGCGGGGTGGCTGGTTTCCCCTTGTTGCCGGCTTTCTCCGAAGATCCCATCTTGTCCATCCAGGTGCCGCAATTCGCGTCGTTGCCGCCGAACACGAAGCCAGTTTCGGGATGAACGCCAATTTGATTGTTGAATCCGCGATCGGTCATGTGCTCGTCAATTTGTTTCCCGGCGTTTCTCTCTCTGAAGCAAAGACCTTGAAAATGCACCGTGAGTGCCTCCTGCATTACTTCGTACAACGGTTGATCCTAAAAAACACACACACACACACAAATGTATACATTCACACACACGTAATATATAAATTCTTATCAGAATTGTGAAATAAAATTAAGTTTTTGTTATGTACTAGTTGTCCCGCGGGTAAAGCCGGTGAATCGTCGGTTGGAAATAGACGTGAAACTTTATCAGATAAAATATTCAAGCCATCTGGCACTTCCTCGGTGTAACATTTTATGATGTAAAGCCACCACCACACGGCGTCACGACAATTGAATCTATTTTATAGAAAAAAAAAAAAAAAAAAAATCAAACATATATAAAAATTACCAGACAACATATGCACAAACGCTAGAGATTAAAAACTTTCTTTAAATATACCTCGCATTGCTGCCTTTGTCGAGTAGATTGGGTATCAGACCGTGTCGCAGAGTTCCAGCAAAACCGAGAATGATAAATCTGGCTTCGGTATGTCTACCCGTTAGAAGCAACAATCCTCTCAGAGCAATAAACGTATCTCTGCCCCAATTTCTCGTGTAACCTGTTGCAAAGTGCGGCAATCCTGCGGATAACGTTGAACATGTCTGTTTGGATTCTCCATCGTACACTTTGGTTTTCGGTTTTGGCGGATTGAGATTCGGCGACAAATCCGGCAGTTGCGACGATCTTACCACACCGCTCATTTGCACCGAGACCAAGCTCAGTAATTTAACAAATGTAGTCCCGTTCTTCACAAAGCTGAAAAGTATGTTATTATGATAATAATTAAAAAAAAAAAAGAGTAAATTTATACATTATTGATAAAATTGATCGGTAAAAATCGTTTCGCTCTGTTTTTAACCCCTTACTCTGACATCAAATTATAGCAATGCTCCATGAGATGCATATAAACGTTCACGATTATGACATCGATATAACTCGGCACTAAGTATCTCGGAATTAAATGGAATGGTTCCACAGCTTGCTCGAGCCATCTTCCAAGGGGTTCGGTACCGTCATCCTCTTTCAAACGTTGCCACATATAATCTGCGAAGTTACAAACCGGTTTGACGATTATACGTTGCTATATATTACTATCGCTAGTTAAAAATAATGTTTTCATTTCCAGTGTGATATAAATGTTGCAAATAAAATATATTACCTATCAACCAGTTGCCCTGTCTGAGATTAGAACATAAGGGATGTCCTAAATCGTTATTCGAACGAATGTCAGCCAAGATGGATATGACACCTACAAGTTAAGCAATTCCAAAATATATAGAATCTATATATAAGAAATGTACATCGTGTAGAGTTAAAAAAAAAAAAAAAAACGTTGCACACTACCTTGCAGTCCGGCATACACTAAAGGCCCGTATCCCGGCACGTCGTACACTCCAAATTTGTTACACGTTTCATCTCTTTCTTCTTGATCGCATCTGTACAAGACCTTGTTCAAGTCCGCCAAATCCATACGGGAAATCACATCGTGCAGCTCCGACCTTTCGCCCGAAGTAATTCGGGAGATAGTATCTTGAAGTTTTGTTAAAGCAGGTTTTATATTAGCGTGAAGAGCCACTCTAAAAAAACAGAACGTTCAGATTGGAGTTCGGATCTATGTGTGAATTGATTCGTTTGAGAGATAAAATGATTTTGCGTGGTTTTATACCGTATAGCTATAACAGAACCGGGTTGAAAGTTCACGAAATTAAGCTGCGTAATCTTGGGATCGCCAGAATCGACCTTCTCGATTATGTCTGAGTCGCAGCACTGTATGTGTTGCTTGAGGTTCAACGTATATTCGGACAATCCGTTTATGTAGTTTTCGTCTTTTGTATATTTCGTGGCCGAAAGAAAAGGTTTTCCGTCTCTATGGTGTCAAAACGATTTCGATTACCAAGAAAGATTAATACATCAGATAAATAACACGTGTCTATATTTTAAAATCTTTTTTTAACGAGAGAAAAATATAAAACTCGCTCACTTAGCATCAACGTGCACAAACGATGCTTCCAAGATAATTTCCTCCACTATACCCTCCACTCTCAATGGTCTGATGTGTCTTCTCAAGTCACTAGCGTTGCAGTCCGGATGTTGAAATGCGGTGAACGCAACCAAAACTACGCTCTCGTGACTGGTCGGCGAGTGTCTCGTTACCGCCACTATGTCGCTATCTATTTGATCAACGAATACCTGGAAGAAAAAAAAATTTTCCATTTTTTTGCAACAGTCGTCGTGGAAATTGACCATTTGTAATCTATACAGATTTATTTATCGTTAAATATACGTACTTGTGAAAATTCCTGTTGACCGAGCATATAGTGCAAATCGTTTAATACCTTTTTAGCCATGATTATACCAGTTTTTGAACTAACAAATTTAACGTCGTCCACAACAGTGTCATCATCTGTCCACAATGTGTATTGTCTTTTCTCATCTACCACGTGTATCTGAAGAACATAAGATTTCATAAAAAATTTTATACGAATGACACTATGAACTTCACATATAAATTTTATTAAAAAATCAATAAAAATGTCTCTTATAAAATTTTTTGCCTAAAATGTACAGGTTTGCACTGCATCTGCTTACGTGATGAGGCACTAATTCATCGTAACCGCGATTACTGCCGCTGGCGCAGCACGCCATCGACACAAGTGCGGCGCTCGGAAGTAAATCAAAAACGCTCCGTTTTTCTACCGGGCTAGGATTATCGTGAGTCACATCCAGAAACAGAGCGTGAGCTATGCTCGGCAGTAACGGCCGTTTTCGCGGTTGCAGGAATGCTCCGACTGGTTCTCCTCCGTAACGATACACCAATCGACCTTCTTCGTGACTATCCCAAGCAGACATAGCTTCTGCAATAAGAACATTTATTTTGCAGTTATTGCTTTTTAATTTTATGACGTATTTGTTGAAGAAAAACAGAAAAAAGTTTTTAAAAGTTAAATGATAGTACTAAGTTTATGTTTATACTATCATTTTTGTTTTCGTATCATTTATGTACTAAAGAAAATGTACAAAAATTACATGTATTGTAAAATGTAATATTTCTGTAAATGAAAAAAAAAAGAGAACCTCTAATTAAAGAAGTAATGCCGAGACGATTTACAAAAATATTGTCCTTTTGATCGGAGTTGGTGAACAATTCTGCAACGACATAAAGATCTGGACGGATTCTTCGTGCAGCATCAAGCATATACTGTAACGAGAATTACATTATTTAACAAACATTTATAGTTTAATATTGAGAGGTATAGATTAAAATCGTAACAATCGTACTTCGGCAACGGGAATCGGTGTGGAGTGGCAATTGTCTAATCGAACGCCATCAAATATTTGCGCGGTTTGTTCTACGTAAGCTACCATGTGCTGCCATAAGAAGGGACAATCTTCTGGTTTTTTCCCATATCTATAATATAATCGTTATAATTATACAACATAATTGTAAAAAAATTGTATACTATATTGTTTTTTTTTTTTTTTACCAGTAATTCACCAAAAGTTAAAGAGTGACATTTAACAACTGCTTTTACCGAAGTTTTACACTATCTCCCCAGGCGATAAGCTCTCTACGTATATAGACATTAGAGTCGGGCTCCGCAAAATTCTTCAAAGGATCGCCATTCATAACCCAACCGTTGTGAGCCATGAGATAACACCCTTTATCCGAATACATTATGGCTTCTCTTTCTTCCAGAGATTTGGGCGCTCCGTAATCGGTGAAATATCTACATAACGTAAACACATAGTCAGAAGATGTTTATAAATATTGCGATACTTTTATAAGACGTAACGTTTGAATGTACACGTTAAAATTTATATACCTAGGAACAAGAGGATGTTTTTCGCTGATTTCCTTGAGTCTCGGACCATCGGATTGCACTCTGAAATATCTTATCCCAGCAATGGTGTTTTCAACTGCGGCGTTTAAGTGATTTTGTACGTCGTTCTTAATAACTTCATTGAGCTCGTGCAATTTTTTCTTTAAATCCTCCGCACATCGTTTCAAACGAGTCTCTTCATCGAAACAATCAGCTCTGTGAGGTAAAAAATATATATCCGTAAGTATCTGAACAGAAATATATTTAACCACACTTCTTCCTTGTGTAATTCACCTGTAAGTGTTATATTTTTTCAAGGCAAGTTGCATATCTATGGTCGACTTCAGTCTACGAAATTGGGGATCTTGAATCACCGAAATTTCTTCAGTTATCGGATTGTTCACGTTCTGGGGCGTTTCGTTGCGGGCCAGATTCAAAAATTCCGCTATGGTTTCATTTACGTCAACGGTGTACAACTCGTGTATCTTCACGAGCGGCAAGAAATGCGTATGAAGAGCATGACGAATCGACTAAACCAAGAAAGATATAAAGAACGAATTTTATAATACGTATTAAAATAATTTTAATGTAAAATAAAATCAATTTGTAGCTTACATTTAGATGGTCTTCCGTCTCAACTACAGTGGGAATACCTTTGAATTCCCATTCACCGGCTGCAACTTGCACTGTTAATTCAAATAATGCTGCATCCAAAATATATGCCGAACATAAGTGAGGGCTGTTGACGCAATTGTATGTGCATTCCGGATTAGAAATCAGAAAAGGACTTTCGTTTGCCGTATGGTTCAGAACGATATCACATATGCTTAGCATCTGTAAAAAAAATAGAAGATAATTAAAAGATATATATGTTGAATGTGTTAAAATAAAAGTGTGCTTTATTATTTCCAAGTCGATCAATGTTTTCAACTTTTTACCTTCCATTCGGTTCGCATTTTATTTACAAATTGTTTGACGTCTTCATAAGAAATGGCCTCGTTATTATCGTTAAAAGTAGGATTGAGTATCATCTGATTCTTCAAACTATACGACGATTTGGAATATCCTAATTCCTATGATATATGAATTTATATATTTTTAGTAAACTCATTATGTTTATATACACATATATATTACAAATTAATTGTTCTACTGTGTACTTACCTGTATTGGTGTAAAATGAATTGCGTTGTATCCAGAATTTCGTGTTACCAGTAACTTCTTTTCCCAGGTGGAAAAAGGTCCTAGACATTTTGCCAAAACCGTTTGAATCTGAACACAATCCAAAGGCAGATTCTCCCCGTGCTCGCCTACTTTCAACTCGGGATCTACTAGCAAGTATCCGGATGCAATGGGATTTGCATCTCTTTGAATTCTGCAAAAAGATGAAAAAACCAGAGAAGTATTTTTTTTGAGAAATAAAATCTAAACAATACGTGTATACGCTCTTGCGATTTGAAGTATCAAATACTTACTGATCAATGACATAATAATGAAACGAGCCGGCCAAATTCAAACGAATGCTCGCTGACTCATCGATCCATTGCAATTGATAGTAGGTATGCCTGTCGAATTGTTTATCATCTGTTAAGGGATGATTTATAAAAACACTAAGTGTTCTTCCAAGAAGAGAAGCTCCGAGTCTGAATTCTACTGTCCATCCTGTAAGAAAAGTGCACTAATTACTCAAAGCATAAAGAAAGCTTTTAGTTTAAAAAGTATAAAATTTTATAAAAACAAACAAAGCAAATAAAATCTCTTTAAACACACCTTTCTTTAATCTGTATAATATTCCATCAAGATGCTCGCCATTGTTTAAAGTTAGGACTCTTATTTGCTCATAGGTTTTAGAAACGTGTTGTTGCATCTCTTCACTTTCCGTCTGAAAAATCACAAAAAGATTTTTTTTTTTAATGTAATAGAAATATTTGCATTTTAATTCTGCTGAAAAAAAATTATTTATTTATAGAATTTATCACAATATTTTTTATATTCTGTTCACAATATATGTGTATGTGTGAACAGAAAACTGAAAAGAAACAGAGATTTTCTGAGAATTAATAACAATTTGAAAATATACAATGTAAGTATTTATGAATATAAACTTTTCATTTATATAAAACTATATTTAACTATAGAAATTTGTATAAAAACAACAAAAAAAATAATAGATATGTACTAAATGTTTGAAAATGCAAATAATCAAAAATATAGACCATTGTTTTTCCTCCCTCTGAAGAAAGACAATACTTACATCTGAAACGTAGAAACTGAATGTACTTGAGGAGCAGAATATAAGCCTTAATATAAGTTATTGGCATAAAGCAGTTAGCAAGCGTGCATAATATTGCATTACAATGTTCTGCTAAGTGAGCAGACATAAAAGCTGTGCAGCTATTCTTACTTTTACTTACTGGAATTACAATACCATACTAATGTGACAACTGCTTCCTACCATAAGACTTGCTTCTACTACTTCTAATAAGTCACGTTACACAAATACAAGACAAATCTCTTTTACCAGTAAATAAATGTGCTGCACTAAAATCTCTCTTATCTAAGAATACAGATTTCATAATTTTACATATTATGTTTATTATGTATCTGCTAGAACTTACAAAAGTTATTCCAAAACAGGTCCATCTACGGATAATCTGCAGGAGATATCTACAAATCTTTAATACCAAGGTTTTTAAATTGGATAGATGATCTGTTTCTTCCATCTCCATTATCAAAATGAAGAGAGAACAAATTCTATTCGCATTTGAACATTTCTGAGATACACATAAAATTTAATTTAAAAAATGTTATATCACTGCACTTTTGTCCATAATCTTACTGTATTAAACAAAATCCTTTTTGTGTTTGTTTTACCTATAACAGAAGACATATGTACTATAATATATGTGAGAAAATACATATATTTATTATAATATTAATACTAAATATTTATTATAAAAAAAACTTAGAATTGTACACATAAATACACATATATGTTATACATTTATTTCTATAAAATATTTTTAATGTTACACATGTATACAAATAAAGATAAAAAATATAAAAATTTCTTTAAATATTATTGTCTTGTATAAAAATTATATTTTACAGAATATACAACATGTTCACCACTTTGTTTAACAAAAACAGACAAGAAAAATATTAGCAATCTTTTATCTTATAAATTATCTGTAAATAATTTGAATACCGATAATATGAATATACATAGTTTTGTAAAATTAATAGTCACATATAATTTTTGCAAAATTAGTGTGTAGTGTTATGAAATTAATAATATATATCTCTTTTTATTGATATATTTCAATTTTTTACACATATATACACATACATATGTTTCTTACAGTTATTAGATACATAAATTAGGTAACATATATGTACATCTCTTTGTTTAATATATAACAACAATTTGTGACAATTATAACACAAAGAAATCCATAAATTAAACGATATTATTTATCACGCACAGGCACATAGCAGAGTTAAGTAACAAAATATTTTACAATCCACAATCCACGTATTCGTACACATTGAGGAAAGAAACACTTTGCAAGTATAAATACGTCATGCGAATCCGTCACGAGATTGTACGTACAATTGTACTATTAACGAATACATGCGACAAAAAATTAACATTTATTTGTTGAAATTGTACTTATTACAAATTCCTCACCTATCAATGTCGACGATGAAGCGTGAAACGGTCGTGTAACACGCGTGCAGTGGGAGTTTGCACGCGAAAGAACGCTTTTAAATACGAAGAACAAGTTGACCTCTATTTGATTAAAGACAGGGCTGAAGGTCAACAAACAACAAGCATGGCTGGGCAAATCAGGCGGCAAACCGGATGATCTTGTACAACTAAAATTCAATTTCGTTCATTGGTCGAAACAGAGTTCGGTTTATTGCGTTTTATTTTGAAAATCGCACAAATTCAATGTAACAAATAAACATGTGGGAGAAATGTTTCCTCGTTCACAAACAACAATTTTGGTCAGAATTTGACACTCATCTCTGTGCTATCCGGAGCATGTTTCTGTTTATATAAGATCAAAATTATCTCTGTGTGCAAAATTGCCAGTGAAAAGTTTAAAACAACTAGCAAAGAGATCTATTTTGGCGGGAAATTTCAAAACACCATTTATTCTCTCCAATACTATAATGTACAAAAAAATTAAATCTTATATCTATATATATGTATATATTTAAAAGAGCCTAACATACGCACGCATACAACACAATCACGCAGGCTTGGAACTGCATAAATTTTCCAACTGTGATCAATTTCCGCTGTTATTTACTAAATTATGTGAAAAATTCCACGATTATACAAGACGGTCAGTCCATTATCATAGCACTCAACAAAGAAATCATTTTTCTAGACTTGCTAAAAGTTTATATAAAAATTTGTAAACGCATCACGTGATTGCGAATGGTCGGTCGCTTTTATCGCACTCTACCACAGATATGCAATCGCGATCAATGGCCGGGTTCATCGCGGATTCAACGGTTGAGACGTCGCTTTGACGCTTGTTGCCCGACGATTGGCGATCGCGCGACAGATCCAAGAGACTAGACCAATCGTCGAGCGGTCGAGCGCAAAGTGACGACCGAACCGAAGTCGAGTCGGCTGAACTCATCCGGGAATTCTAACCTCAAACTTTATCTTCAAGTCACCCTTGCCCCTCTCTCTTTCTTATTTCTTCGTGATCTAATGATCCGATAAGTCCTATTGCAACACAGAGCAAGTCTCTTTGGCAACCGTTATCTCGCGCGTCGTACGATACGAACATTTTTAATAAAAAAGACAAAAAAAAAAGAAAAAACCTAATTGTCGAAGATTTAACCAAGCGTTATTAGAAAATTTGTTAAATCTAATTATCTCAAAAATCTCAATCGCATCTCACGCAACTCCAACGTTTCTGTACGTACACGTGTTTGTTTACCGAAGTTTAAAGTTCTCAGTGGTATACAAAGTTCGCGCGCCGCCACGTCATTCCGAAGAAACTTGGGCGAGGAGGAGACGCAAATATTGGGTGCGTTCAGGCAACTCAACAGTTGTACAACAGTTGAGTAAATTTTACTGAACGCACTATGTTCAGTGAGCGATCACTAAACATGTTCAGTGATCGGACGCCATGTTTGTGAGCGGTTTTCAAGTTCGCTCACTGATCACAACAGGTTACATGCTTGCAAAAGTTGGGCACAACATTTCGAAATGGAAGAAACATATAATGTTTTATATACGCATCAAAACAGTACTTATAGTATAAATGATACTGCTGAAATGCACGAATTATTGCAAAATGGTAAATATGTTATTATTTATCTACATATTTCCACTTTAAGAAATTTATGATATATAAAAGAATCGTTAAATCAATATATCAATTGTTTTAACAAGTTTTTTAATTTTCCAGAAATTTATTATTAGTGTTGTACTTGTGTTTATGTATGCAGTATTAGCCAAAATATTTAAACAAAATAGAAACATCTCTTAGAAAATTATTACTGGTGTGACTTAACCAAAATATTTATT